TGAGACAGTCCTGCTCTGTCAAAGAAGCTGGAGTACAGTGGTGCAATCATGACTCACTGCAGCCTCGACCTCCTGGGGTGAGGCAATTCTTCCACCTTAGTTCCTGAGTAGCTGGGACTTACAGGTATGTGCCATGACACATGGCTAATTTTTTTTTTTTTTTTGGTAGAAACAGGGTTTCACTATGTTTATGTTGCCTAGACTAGTCTTGAACTCCTGAGCTCAAGTGATCTTCCCTCCTTGGGCTCCCAAAGTACTGAGAATTTTTAATGTAGGCAATCATAGCATCTGTCAGTGTAGTTAGTTTTACTTCTTCCTTTCCAATCTGATGCCTTCTTTGCATTGTTTAGGAACTCCAGTACAGTGTTTAGAATTCATGAGAGCAGACATCCTTGTCTTGTCTCTGATTTCAGATGTGCCTAGCTGGGAAATGTTTTTTTTGGTGTTTAGCATTCACTAGTGAAGGCCGGGCTCAGTGGTTCACACCTATAATCCCAGCACTTTAGGAGGCTGAGGCGTGTGGAGCATGAGGTCAAGAGATCGAGACCATCTTGGCCAACATGTTGAAACCCTGTCTCTACTAAAAATACAAAAATTAGCTGGGCAAGGTGGTGTGTGCCTGTAGTCCCAGCTACTCAGGAGGCTGGGGCAGGAAAGTTGCTTGAACCCGGGAGGTGGAGGTTGCAGTCAACTGAGATTTTGCCACTGCACTCCAGCCTGGCACAGAGAATTCACAATGAAGCAATCTGGGTGGGGAATTTTCTTTTTAGGAAAGTTTTAAACTATCAATTCACTTTAATAAAGAGATACTTAGTTTATTTCTTCTTACTTCAGCTTTCGTCATTTGAATTATTTAAGGACATTATTCATTTTATTTATTCACATGGTGTTGTTCATAATTTTTTTTTCTTTTTTTTTTGAGACGGAGTGTCACTGTGTTGCCCGGACTGGAATGCAGTGGCATGATCTTCAGATTTTCTTTGTGGCTTTTCTTTGACCCCTATTAGTTATTTGGAAGTGAACTTAAAAAATTTCCAAGTATCAGGGCATTTTCCAGAGGGCTTTCTTTTGTTCAATTCTAGTTTGTATTCTGTTTTAGTCAGAGAATACACTTTTTTTTTTTTTTAGAAAAGGTCTTGCTCTGTTGCCCAGGCTATATATTGCAGTGGCACGATCATGCCTCACTGCAGTCTCAACCTCCCTGGCTCAAGCGATTTTCCCACCTCAGCCCCCCAGGTAGCAGGGACTACAGGCACATGCCACCATGCTCAGCTAAGGTTACAAAAGTTTTTTAGAGACAGGGTCTCACTGTGTTGTCCAGCTTGTCTCAAACTCCTGGCCCCAAATGATCCTCCCAAAGTGTTGGGATTACAGGCAGGAGCCATTGTACCCAGCTGGAGAGAATATACTTTTAATGACTTAAATGTTTTTAAGTTTGTGAGATTTATTTATTTTGGGGCCACCAGTTAGAATTTTACTCTGTAAGTAAGTGTATGTATTTTAAATTAGGTTAATTTTCAAATATGTATTATTAGTAGTGCCAGCGTTGGGAATTTTGCTTAGCTCTCTGAATTAGGTCATTATAAAAGAGTTTCTGTGTCACCCATGAATTGCTGAATAATCCTGGGTTGATGATAGTAACATTGATATCTCAGCCCTTCACAAAATATATTTTGGTAGGTATTTTCCACCAAAGTATAAAGAGTAGCAGCTAACTTGTGAAGTTAACTCTTTGGTTTTTTTTTTAAGATGGAGTCTTGTTCTGTCGCCAGGCTGAAGTGCAGTGGCGTGATCTCGGCTTACTGCTACCTCTACTTCCTGAGTTCAAACAATTCCCCTGCCTCAGCCTCTTGAGTAATTGTGGGATTACAGGCGTGTACCACCATGCCTGGCTAACTTTTTGTATTTTAGTAGTGACAGGGTTTCACCATGTTGGCCAGGATGGTCTTGATCTCCTGACTTTGTGATCCGCCTGCTTTGGCCTCCCAAAGTGCTGAGATTACAGGCGTGAGCCACCACGCCTGGCAATTAACTCTTTTATAATCTAATTTCACTCAGTGAGGAGCACATAGTGCTCCTGATTTTATATTGAATGTTATGATTTACATTTAAAATAAAGTCCTATCTTTGCAGTTGATAAATTACTCTTGACCAAAGTGCCTTTTTTATTTTTCATTTTTTAGCCAATTTCATATCATTTATTTTACCATCTTACAAAAAGATGGTAACGGAGTGCCCAGTTGCCAAATCATTTTTTGGATTTGTTTTGCTTGCTAAATTGGATAGTCTTAATCTTAAATAATAATTATATACACTAATGAAATTAATTTTCTCTTAATATAAAGATGTTGAATATTAGTCCACCTAAGAATTCCGTATATAATCACAACAGTAAACTATAATTTGTTACTGAAGTTTGCTTACATATAGGGTATCTCCTAATGTGTAGTTTGTGTAGGTGACTATCAAACTAAGATTGCATCCTCTAAACACTAGTTTGGCAGCTCAACTGTAGATTATTTCAAGACGATCTGTCTGCCTTGCCAGTCCTTGGCACTTGGGAATTTTCTTGTAATCACATTTTCTGTGGTTTCACCCAATCTCTTCTCTTTGCATTTTTTCTTTCTTCTTTCTACCTCTGAACATGCTTAGGTCATTTGTATTAAAACAAAAATAAATGCTTCCTTTGCCATATAAAACACATTCAAAAAGTAGTCCATACTTTTGCTACCACTTCTTGCCACCCTCTTCTGGACTATTTTTCCATAATATAACATCTAGCTTCTACCTCCCAGCCCCACCACCCCATGCCACATTGTCAACAAAAAGCCTGGTGTCCTAACTTCAATTTAATGATTTTTACTCAGCTTTTATCTTCTTTGAATTGCCTTGACAGTTGCTGTTTTCCTAAGTCCTCTGCATCCTCTGAGATACTGTCCAAACTTCAGAGAATATTTACTGGATATGTATTATGAACTAGAGTTAGACTCTGCTAGGTTTGTTAGCATGATCTTTCTTCTAAGGACTGTCATCTGACCTTGTGTGTTTCTCATTCCTTCAGTCTCTTCCATGTCATCTCTTTTACTTCTGTGTTACTCTTTAGGCTTTCCTACAGATGATCTTCAAATGTTTTTCTTTGCCCTCAACCATTTTAAATTTTACTTTTTTGAGACAGGGTCTCACTCTGTCACCCAGCCCTGGAGTGCAGTGGTATGATTTTTGACTCACTGTAACCTGCACTTCCCGGGCTTAAGTGATCCTACCCCCTCAGCCGTCCAACTAGCTGGGAGTACAGGCTCATGCCACCATTTCCAGCTAATTTTTGTATTTTCAGTAGAGATGGGGTTTCACCATGTTGTCCAGGCTGGTCTTGAATTCCTGAGCTCAAGTGATCCACCCTCCTTGGCTTCCCAAAGGGCTGGGATTATAGGCATGAGCCACTGTGCCTGGCCAGACTAATATATTAATCTGACTTCTGCAACAGCCAAAATTGTCTCCATTGCCATCTACAGAACAAAATTGAGAGCCATTGGCATGTATTTTAGGATATTCCAGAATAGTTATTCATTCATAGTTTCCAGTCTTGTCATTGCTCTATTACATGTGCTTTATGCTCTAGTCTAGCTGGACTACTTTAATGTTGCCAGAATACTCTTCATGTCTTACCTGCTTAGAACACTTTCTCACATTGTTTTATTTCGCTATTATGCTTTCCTACTTATCTTCATCTGTGAAGCTCCTATTCATTTTACAAGTCTAAGCTGCCCTAAATGTAACAGAATGTGAACCTTCCTGATTCTGAACTCCGATTCTCTTTTGTAACATTTGCATATTACTTGCCGTGTTCTATCTGGAATTCTAATTGTGATTCATGTTCAAAATACATTCTTGAACATAGCAAGCTTCCTGGTAAATACTTCTTATATCCAGGTTTAAGTTCACTTTCAGTGCTGCCATACTGTTCCAGTTTTTTGATTTTTTTGTTTTGTGGATAAGAGGTACTTTTTATTTTGTTCGAAGTTTTTGAGTTCTGCAATTATTCATTTCTGTTTTTGAGATTGGTTGTTTGACACAATTCTAGGTGCTCAGAATTTTGCTCTGTTTATTAGATATCTATTGCTACATAATGAATTACCCCAAAACTTGGTGTTTAAGCATGATAAACATGTATTATCTTGCAGTTCTGAGGGTTACTAATTTATGAGTGGTTTAGCTGGGTGGTTCTGTCTCATATTCCCTCATAATGTTGGAGTTCAAGATACTGACTGTGGCAGCAATTATCTGAGGCTTGTTGGGGACTGGAAGATTAATTTCCAATGTGGCTCCCTCACGGGGCTCAGGAAGCCTTAGTTCCTTGTCATATGGGCCTCTCCATGGGGCTCCCTTGGTGTCCTTATTATGGCAGTTGGCTTTCTTCAGAGTGAATGATCCATAGATAAGCAAGGTAGAAATAATTTCTTTTATGAAGTAGCCTCAGATGTCATATAGCTTTATTTCTGCAATATCTAGTCACAAGAAGTGAGTTATTAACTCTGGACACCACTGAAGGGGAATGGAACTGAGCTTTACCCTTTGGGGAGGATTGCCAAGTCATTTGTGGATATATATTTAAATTCCACTGCACATGATTGTGTTTTCCTTAGGAGGCTGATGATGGGTAAATTTCACTATGAGTTGTTTTAAATTGTTGCTATATCCTATATTAAAGAAATTGTAAGTTCCCAAGTAACATAGATACAATTGATATGGTTTTTATCTTTTGTTAAAGATTTATGTATCCTTAATTTCTCTACTAATTGAGATTATTTTACAGGGTTATTTTCTGAAAATCTTAAAAGTTTTGATAATTTTGTTTCTGTTTTCAGGGCACCAACATATCATTGAATTATTCCAAACTTTGTCCTATTGTTTTTCTGATTCCCTATTTTAAAAAAATATATTTTGCATACCAATTATAGAAATGTGTTTATTGAAATAAATGGCTTATTTTTTCCTCTCAGCTGATTTGAATAGGATGCACAGACAAAATATAGATGCCTACCATAACCCAGATGCAAGGACACCTGAAGATAAAAGGGCTGTTGTATCTCTAGACCAAAATTTAGCCGCTTCAAATGCTGAGAACCTAGAAGATGCTGCAAATAAAAGCTCAGGTTTTTAATCACTTTTTTTTTTTTTTTTTTTTTTACATTTCTGAAATTGTTCAGTAACATTTCTGTTCTTTAAGTTTTTATTGGGATCTTTAGAATTTGGCTACTCTGATACAGAAAGCATAACGCTAGTCATAAAATACCTTTTCTTCATAGTTACTTTGAAAAAAAGTGAATAGGGAAAGGTTATTTTTTACTAATCTGTTTATTCTCAGCTTTATAGCTTGCTATGTATCTTTTAGCTGCTGCTAAGTTTTTGTTTTGCTAGGGGGATATTTCTTAAAATCAAACACTTATACACCTACACAATTTGCATCTTATACCAATAGGTGTTTGAATTAGTGGAAAAGTTATCAGTTATGATATGATAAATTGTACAGGAAAATTCATTTTTTGCTTGTTTAGTAATCATTTACCCTCCCTTGTAAAACAACAGTGTGCAAAGAAATGAAGCAATTAAAAGTTTAATTTAATACCAGGTTACATGCCTCTTAACTGCTTATCTTTGATTTACTATTAATATCCTTTATTCAAAAATTTTGTAAGATGAAAATTATTCAGTGTCTTTTTTATGACATACCAGGAAAAGTTGTCAAATATATATTAAAGTGTGTTATATATTTAAAAATACGCCAAGTGAGGTGGCTCACGCCTGTAATCCCAGCACTTTGGGAGGCCAAGGTGGGCGGATCATGAGGTCAAGAGATTGAGACCATCCTGGCCCATCTTTGCTAAAATACAAAAATTAGCTGAGCATGGTGGCATGTGCCTGTAGTCCCAGCTGCTCGGGAGGCTGAGGCAGGAGAATTGCTTGGACCCAGGAGGCGGAGGTTGCAGTGAGCCAAGATTGAGCCACTGCACTCCAGCTTGGCACCTGGCAACAAAGTGAGACTCTGTCTCAAAAAAATAAATAAAGGAAATTTAAATAATACACCACCTTGCACTATATTTTGATGCCTTTACAACTGGCCATTTATTCGTTACAAAATTCTACTTTGTACTTTCACAGAAGTTTTGATTTTAGACTAGAAAAGAACTTTTCATTAGGAAGTTCTAAAATATTTCTGACCATGCAGTCTTTTTGTTTTTGGCTAAACAGATAAGTGATATGGGGAGCTGTGATTAGAGTTGTAGCCCTGCATCTTTCAAGGCTTTGATGGTAGCACACATTATCTGTAGCCTATTTGAACACTTTAAGAGATGGATCATTTGCTGTTTTCATGGGCAGCTTGTTCCAGTGTTTTCTAATTATGAGAAAATGCTTTCTGTGTTCTACAATAGGTTTTTACCCATTAGATCCAGTTTTGATTTTTAGAGCACTAAAATTGGAACCTTTGATTTCGACAAAATTATTGATTTGGGTCTTTTAATTCATAATAATGTATAGTAAGAACCTCAAAGCACCTTTTCATATTGCTGCTAAGAGACAATTTTGACTTCCTTCTGATTATCATTATTTTTCTCATTTGCTGCTGCTTCTAGTAGTTTATATTGAGATCTCAGTGCCATATAGTCTTGCTCTACCCCTTTCTTCTATACTTGGTATTGTTTGTAGTTCCCTGGCTCAGCCTAGAACTTTTTCTATCTTAGTTATAACACTTTTTAGCTATTTAGCTTGCTCACCAAGCAAAAACACTGGAAAATCAACAGTTTCCATGACCCCTTCCCAAACATGATTAAACACGCACAGCAAAATTTGGTGCCTATAGCCTTTCTGTATCATTGCCAGGTTTTTATGCTGGCATTATTGCCAGAGTGTTCTATTTTAAGAAATGAATAAAACATAAAATGTTTAAAACTTCCCTTTTATTATGAATTGGAATTCCCTAAGTTAGAATTTTCTTCCTAAGTATTAATCAGCTGGGTACGGTGGCTCACGCCTGTAATCTCAGCACTTTGGGAGGCTGAGGTGGGTGGATCATGAGGTCAGGAGACTGAGACAGTCCTGGTCAACATGGTGAAACCCTGTCCTACTAAAAATAAAAATATTAGCAGGGTGTGGTGGCACAAGCCTTTAATCCCAGCTTGGGAGGCTGAGGCAGGAGAATCGCTTGAATCTGGGAATTGGAGGTTGCAGTGAACTGTGATCATGCCACTGCACTCCAGCCTGGTGACAGAGCGAGACTTGGTCTAAAAAAAAAAAGAATTCATCTAAAATAAACTTTCTCAATGCAAGAAATGATTCAAAGCCACCTAATTTTGTGCTATGCCATATATATGTATATGAGTGCATGTGTATGTATGTACACACAGACACATGTATCTTTGCATATTTGTAGCATTTGATATTTTAAAAGCCTAAAGGAACTTGAATATACCTGAAAATTGAATGTTAAAACATGTGTTTAAGTTTCCTTATTCTCTAATGTTTCATCTTCATTAGTTTAGTTTCTGATGCCCTTTATAATGTTCATTATTTTTTTTCTTTTACTTTATGGTTTTTAGATGAGCTGTGGCTTATAAAGTCTAACACGAATTTGGCTTAAATTTATTTTTTTGGCTTATTGTAACACGTCACATTTCTGCTTTCTTTGTATATAACAAGTGTTTACCTATGGTTTTGTTTGCTTCTATAGTTTATTCATTTCTAAAAGGACTTCTGTTGTCTGTCTCCAATAATATGTTTTCTCTAATTGCCTCAGAGGTTTAGAATAGGACTGAGCAGCGTGGTGAAACATACTACTCAATTTTGTTTTTCTACTAGCTTACAGCATAAATTTTAAAAGACCCTTCAAGTTGTATATTTAGCTCGTTTTCAGTAGGAAAAATTTTGGGTGAAAAAAAGTATCCATAATGTTTATTGATTTGACTTTCTGCCAGTCTGTTCAAATAATCATTAATAAATTTAAATACAAACGCAAAATACATCTGAATAGCAGCTGAACCGCAAAGCAGTTTGCCTATACAAAACTACTTTCGAGAAATACATGCTTTAGGCTGGGTGAGGTGGCTCACACCTGTAATCCCAGCAATTTGGGAGGCCATGGCAGGCGGATCGTCTTGAGATCAGAAGTTCGAGACCAGCCTGGCCAACATGGCAAAACCCCATCTCTACTAAAAATACAAAAAAAGTTAGCCTGGCATGATGGCACATACCTGTAGTGCCAGCTACTCGGGAGCTGAAGCAAGGAGGATCGCTTGAACTCGGGAGGTAGAGGTTGCAGTAAGCCACAATTGTGCCACTGCACTCCAGCGTGGGTGACAGAGCAAGACTCCGTTTCAAAAACAAGAAATACATGCTTTAGTTTAATGGTATGAAGAATGAATTGGAAACTCTAAAACAATATAAAAAGTTATGTGAGGCTTAAATTTAAATGTCATTTTTTTTCCTGTCTGCATTCAAAGAGATTCTAAGTGTATAGTTGTTTTTTGAATTGCTTTTATGAAATTTTTTTCATTCGAAGAAAATACAATACTATTTATAGGTAATAGATAATAAAAAAATTTTGTTCATTAATTCAATAGTTTTAAAAATAAAAACTATTACAATAATTAAGATATTCTAATTTGTTAAATGTTTTTCAAAGCTGACTATTCTGTCATTTATTGGGAAGAATTTTGAAATTACTTTTTTTAAAAACAATTTTAGAAAATTTTAAATGTTAATACATTTTAATGTGTTATTAAGCAATATTCTTAAGGATATTCACATACTGAAGAATGTAATATGTACTTTTTGTCTCTTCATAAATTCTATTTTAAAGCCTTTGCTGCAATGAGAGTTACTTAGGCTGTTAGCTTTTATGTTTCCTTTGTGCCTTTCAGGTATTACTTGATTGTTTTAACTGTTAATTTTATTTTAGTATTACCATTTTTCTTTCTCTTACTACTTTTCATCTGCTCTTCGGATGCTAATTTCAACCATTCTCTTCTGATTTTAATCTCTGGACTTTTTTTTAATGAATTTATTAGCAAACCGTTAATTCTTTAACTGTCACATTTTCTAAGCATTGGCTAATAGCATGTTTTTGCAAAATATCTCGTTTAAGGTCAGATGCAAACACAGAGCTCTCCTTTTGCTCGGGGAAATGTATTTGGTGAGCCTCCAACTGAACTTCAGATTAAACAGCAGGAATTATACAAGAATTTTCTTCGTTTTCAGGTGAAATGCTTATTTGATCAGTTTTAAAGTTTCACAAGATTTTAATAAACAAAAATTGCAAAGATTTTCTCCACAGGGTAAATACGAAATTCTAAAATGCCATGCTGTTATCTAAAATATCTAATTCATATGAGATCAGATATCAGTAGTATAAAAATTATTTCATTTTCTTTTCCTTTTTTTTTTGAGATAGAGTTTTGCTCTTGTTGCCTGGGCTGGAGTGCAATGGCACAATCTTGACTCACTGCAACCTCTGCCTCCCAGGTTCAGGCTGTTCCCCTGCCTCAGCCTCCCGAGTAGCTGGGACTACAGGTGCTCGCTTGCCACATCCAGCTCATTTTTGTATTTTTAGTAGAGACGGGGTTTCACCATGTTGACCAGGATGGTCTTGATCTCTTGACCTTATGATCTACCCACCTCGGCCTCCCGAAGTGCTGGGATTATAGGCATGAGCCACTGCACCTGGCTCATTTTCTTATTTTAAGGAAATAAGCAGTTGTATTAAATGTAGTAGTTGACTTAATCTTTTTTATACTTTATTAAATCTTTAATTATTTTATTTTTTTGAGATGGAGTCTTGCTCTGTCACCCAGGCTGGGGTGTAGTGGTGTGATCTTGGCTCACTGCAACCTCCACCTCCTGGCTTTAAGTGATTCTCCTGTCTCAGCCTCCTGAGTAGCTGGTACTGAAGGTGTGCACCACCATACCAGGCTAATTTTTGTATTTTTAGTAGAGGCGGGATTTCACCATGTTGGCCAGGCTGGTCTCCGACTACTGACCTCATATGATCCACCCGCCTTGGGTCTCCAAAGAGACCGAAGGGGATTACAGTGTGAGCTACCATGCGCAGCCTAAATTAATTTTAAATCAAAGAATGCTGAGATTTTAAAAATTGACTTACCAAAATATTCATCTATTAGGCAGATAATGTATCTTTCTAGATATATATAAGTTGATGTTTTCTAAATGATTTGATACTCTTATTACAGATTGTAAATAAAAATTAGATTTAAGATAATTACAGTTTATAATTATCTGCCCCATATATGTATATAAGTAAATAGCATTTAACATAGTAGAAATGTCCAAACTATTTCCAAAGAAAGGCACTTAAATATCCATTGTTTATGAAGCAAACAGACTTACTACCATACTGGGTGCACTCTGAGCTGAGTTCTAGGGATGGAGCCTGAGATGAATGTGAAATACTTGCGTATGAGGGACTAACAGTTTCTTTTGTCTTTACCTCCCTCCCTTTCATACCCACACTTTGAGCTCAGTTTTAGATTAATCTTATGGCCTGGTTAATTTTCCTTTGATACAACTTTTCACATGCTGTTCTTCTTTACTCAAAATCTGGTGGTAGGTTTTCTTTGCCTACAGAAATTATCTCAACTCTTTAGCCTGACATTAAAGGCTATCTAATCTAACCTCAAACTTTTTTTTTTTTTTTTTTGAGATGGAGTCTTGCTCTGCCACACGACCTCAGCTCACTGCAACCTCTGCCTCCTAGGTTCAAGCAGTTCTCCTGCCTTAGCTTCCCAAGTAGCTGGGACTACAGGTGCGCATCACCACGCCCAGCGCATTTTTGTATTTTTACAAAATAAGAGATTGAGACCAACCTGGAAAACATGGTGAAACCCAATCTCTTGACCTTGTGATCTGCCTGCCTCGGCCCCCCAAAGTGCTGGGATTATAGGCGTCAGCCACCACGTCCCGCCCTCTAACTCCGAATTCTTAAATAGACGCCCTCAAACATACCTTCTTTTTAATCCTAATTCTTGTTGACTCTTAAATAAGGCAGTGACATGATGGATATAGCCTTTAAGGATTATTGATGTTAGGCTGGGTGTAGTGGCTAGCACCTGTAGTTGAAGTACTTTAGGAGGCCAACGTGGGCAGATTGGTTGAGCTCAGGAGTTTGAGACTAGTCTGGGCAACTTGGTGAAACCCATTTCTACAAAAAATTAGCCAGGCATGGTAGTATATGCCTGTAGCCCCAGCTACTTAGGCGGCTGAGGTGGAAGGATCGCTTGAGCCCAAGAGGCAGAGGTTGCAGTCAGCCAAGATATGCCACTTTATCCTACCTGAGCTACAGAGTGAAAAAAGGATGTGATTGATGTGACATCACTGTTTAAGATATAATAATAGAGGATTGCAAAGACTGGAAACAGGGATATCTTACTAGAGTGGATGACAGTGGAAATAGATTGAAAGGCGTTTTTAAGGTTCAACAGAAATGACATAAATGTTGAATGTAAGATATTAGCATCAGAGGTCCCAATATTGTGCACTCAAGTCTGGTAGCAGCAAGTTGAAGGTTTGGAGTCTCTGTTGAACATAAAGGACCCTGTGGTATATTGACCATGACAACTGGTCAAAATTTAAGTACCTCCTCTAATGCTTAGCAATTCTTACCATGGTCTAAGGTAGAATTCAGCCAAAAAAAAAAAAAAAAAAATTCTTACAACTATATAGGCTTTTATTGTTTGTGAGATACTTTTACACATAGTACCTCAACCAACCTCAAATTTCTTTGAAGAAGGTTTTATTATCTCTATTTAATGACATACAACCAATACTCGGACTAACAGGCTTTCCCAGGGTGTAGAGCTAGCAAATTGTGAGGCCATTGCTTGAACCCAAGTCTCCAGACTTCAAGTATAATACCTATAGATACCACCCTTCTGTTTATAGGATTCACTAGAAAGTCTTTATCTCTAGAAAAACTATGATTATGGGGTAAGCTTTAACTATTTTAGTTGCAGCCTTTAGTTCTTCTAGTCTGTCAACCCTCAATTTATCAGTGAATAGATTGCTTTCAGATGATGGTTTTTAACTTTTTCTTTTAGCAACCTTTTAAAAATCTCTTCCCCCACTTCAAACAAAACCTAACATGTAATTCTAAGAAAATATAAAGTAGACCAATGGTATTTATTACTACTGTCAACAATACAGTGTCAGATGAAACATATCCAAAACTTTTGTTGAAACAAATGTAATGAAATGTTCAAATCTGTGCACAAAGATGTTAAGAAAAGCTTTAGCCTGAGGTCTACACAAGTAAGTTCTACGGTTAGCTTAAGTTAATGCATCAGAAGTCTTTATGCTGTTAAACTTTGGTAAATATTAATAACACTTGTGAATGTTTGACATTTTCAATTACAGCAATAAAAATAATTAACAAATTAAATATTTTTAAGAACTCTTGAAGCATTTTTGTGTTATACAATTAGAAAACCATGACAAGAAGATAGCTTTCCATACCGGAAAGCTGTTGAACTGCTGTCTAGCATTCCTGCTGGCACTGAGCTTTGGATCCATTAAGTAGATGATCCATTAATAGTTTACAGGTTGATATTCTTTGATTTTGATGGAGAAATGACCCTGTGAATGTAATTTTTTTTTCTCATGGAGTGGGAAGAAGGGGGAACTAAGTATTGAATATAAAATTTTGTTGAATTATAAATTATTTTTTTAGTCATGTTGGACTTGAAGAAGTGATAGCACACAGATTGCTGACTAAAAGTACTAATTAGGCTTGTGCATATTTAATAGTGTTGTGAGAAAGTGTTGGAAAAGCCCTAGTATATAAAATCATGGGATGTGTTAGAAGATTAAAGTTCTTTTTTTTTTTGAGACAGAATCTCACTCTGTTGCCCAGGCTGCTGTGCAGTGGCATGATCTCGGCTCACAGCAACCTCTGCTCTGGATTTGAGTGATTCTCCTGTCTCAGCCTCCTGCGTAGTTGGGATTACAGGCATGCGCCACCACGCCCAGCTAATTTTTATATTTTTAGTAGAGACAGGATTTCACCATGTTGGCCAGGCTGGTTTTGAACTCTTGACCTCAGGTGATCCGCCTGCCTCATATTACAGGCTTGAGCCACCGCACCCGGCCAGATTAAAGTTTTTATAGCTCAAAAATTAACAACACTAGATAGAGCAACATTGAAGCTAGAGTAAGTACAGACAAGAAAAACAAAAGTGTGCTGAGTAGTATGATCCACATCTAAGGATAACTAAAATCTGTTGACAACCTTAGAGACATGAATACCTATTTCCCATGCTGCCATTCTTCCCTGCCTCACTCATCGCGGGTGTGGAGTATCTGTTAGGGCCCCTCTTCCCTTCAAATCTTAGGCTCTGCCTTAGAATATTTCCCTCAGAGTACTCAACACTATAGACTCCAGGTGGCATTTAAGATGAAACTTAATGATGAGTTCTTGTGACTTAAATCGTCCTACACTTAATAGTTTTAGTTCTTTCTCCATGAACCTCTATAGATAGAAAAGAACAAAGGGCATTTGGGAGAAGTGGTTCTTGCATTAAAAATGATTGGATACAGTGAATATTAATTTCACTATTATTTTGGAATAATAAAGTACAAGAATTTTGATATATAATAGCAGCAATCACTATAGAATAATACAATCATGAATTATTTGCTTAGAACCTTTTATATAGGAGGAACTTTTATGTTCCTTGCATTGTTTAACAATTTTTTGAGCACTCCTTTGAGATGTAGGCGTTAATAACTCTGTTTACCAGAAAAAAAGAGAAAACTAAGGACAAGCAAGTTTCTTAAGGTCACACAGTCTGTTTGTTGGAACTGAAATTTAACTCAAAGCTTTTAACAGTACAGTAAACCATGTAGCCTCCCTAAAAATACAGGAGACTGAAAAATTTAGGAACATGCAAAAAGAGGGTATAGATGTTGAGTTTATATGCTGTCAGGAAAAAAATAAGTGATATTCTAACTTTTCACTAGTTTTACAGCATAAATAACTAGGTTTAATTCTTTAGATTGAGGAAAAGAAACAAAGAGAGGAAGCAGAGCGAGAGAGACTGAGAATTGCAGAAGAAAAAGAAGAAAGACGACTTGCAGAACAGAGGGCACGGATTCAGCAGGAGTATGAAGAGGAACAGGAAAAGAAAAGGGAGAAAGAGGAGGAGGTACATCTTTTTTCCCAACTCTCTTTTACTGCTTAGTCTGAAGGTTAAGTCTTTATTTTGACTTGAAAAGATACTTGTTACTTATGAAGGAGAACAGTGTTGGAGTACATTTAGGAAAATATCAGATCAATATCCATTCATGGATACTATTTCATTAAGGTGAAAGTAATTTAAGAAAGGAGATAAATGATGACTTTAAAAAAATAGGCTGCCTGAAGACTTTATAAAAGATACCTCATATTTTATTTTTAAGCAGATAACCTCTTTATGTTAAAGAACCATATCACATCCTTATTTTATTAGATAAGGCAGCACATTTTTGAATGTGCTATATAGAAAGTATATATGGAATGCCTATTTTTCTATTTATTTTGAAGCAAAGGCTAAAAAATGAAGAACATATTCGGTTAGCTGAAGAAAGACGAAAAGAAGCAGAAAGAAAGAAGAAAGAAGAAGAAGAAAAATATAATCTGCAGCTTCAGCACTACTGTGAAAGAGAAAATTTGATTGGGGAAGAAACAAAGGTAAGTTTGAGACAAAAATGTCAATTAAACCCATAGTTTAACCCACTTCTGCTGTGAGAGTTGTATAGTTGTTAGAAAAAGGGAAAAAGAAGGAGGTGCTTTTGTTCCTGTTCTGTCTTACTGTTTAGTCTGGGCCCAATGTACTGAACTTTGTATATGAGGTACTGTCACTGTGCTTTGTTGGTATTTTCTGTCCATTGAAGGTAATGGATTTACTTACCTCAGCCATTCTTAGTCTTGTTCCTTTGGTATGTGCAGTGTCAACCAAAAATATGGTCTGCAGACCAGCACAACATGAACTGTTTGTTATGGTTCACAACAAGACTAAATACAGAAATTGAGAGCTTTTTTAAAAAAATTTTTTCTTTCTTTCTTTCTTTTTTTTTGGTTAAGATGAAATCTCATGCTGTTGCCCAGGCTGGAGTGCAGTGGCACAGTTTTGGCTCACTGCAACCTCCACTTCTTGGGTTCAAGCTATTCTCCTGCCTCAGCCTCCCTAGTAGCTGGGACTACAGACGTGCGCCATCATGCCTGGCTAATTTTCGTATTTGTAGTAGAGACAGATTTCACCATGTTGCCCAGACTGGTCTCAAACTCCTGACCTCAGGTGATCTGCCCACCTTGGCCCCTCAAAGTGCTGAGATTATAGGCATGAGCCACCACACCCAGCCTTCTTTCTTTTTTTTTAAGAGACCAGGTCTTGCTATGTTGCCCAGGCAGATCTCAAATTCCTGGGCTCAGGTGATCCTCCTGCCTCAGCCTCCCAAAGTGCTGGGATCACAGGCATGAGCCACCACTTCTGCCTCACAGACAATTTTTTATTGTAAAATTCATCATTTAAGAATGAAAGAGGCTTAGCGAGGTGGCTCACACCTGTAATCCCAGCACTCTGGGAGACCGAGTTGGGCAGATCACTTGAGGCCAGGAGTTTGAGACCAGCCTGGGCAACGTGGTGAAACCCCATCTCTACTAAAGAATACAAAAATTAGTTGGGCGTGGTGGGCAGCTTTAGTCCCAGCTACTCAGGAGGCTAAGGCAGAAAAATCACTTGAACTTGGGAGGCAGAGGTTGCAGTGAGTCGTGATTGTAACACAGTGATCCAGCCTGGATGACAGAGTGAGACTCTGTCTCAAAAAAAAAAAAAAATGCTATTTTTTAGTAATATATACTTTTATGAATGTAATCGTAAAGTACCATAAAATTTTAAATTGGCTTTATCTCATTTAATGCATTTGCCTTTCTGAAATTAACATTGCTATCATTCTTTTCATTTATGTATGTCCGATATATATTTTTGTCTATTTCTTCAGTTTTACCTTTGTGTCACTAGATTTTTTATTTAATTAGGTTGTATCTTTCTTTAGTTTGTTGAATTTTTAAAATCCTAATCTGAGTCATCTTTTTATTTTCGTTTATTTATTTATTTAGAGACAAGAGACTCACTCTGTTACCCAGGCAGGCATGCAGTGGGATGATCTTGGCTCACTGCAACTTCTGCCTCCTGGATTCAAGCAATTTTCCTGCCTCAACCTCCCCAGTAGTTGGGAGTATAGGCGCATACCACCACACCCAGATAATTTTTGCATTTTTAGTAAAGACCATGACAACATGGTTTTAACCATGTTGGCCAGGCTGGTCTTGAACTTCTGACCTCAGGTGATCTGCCTGCCTTGGCCTCCCATAGTGCTAGGATTACAGACATGAGCCACTGCACCCAGGCTATCTTTTAAAATAAGGATATCTGAATCCATTTATGTTTATCAAAACTAATGTCTTTGATTGCATTAATTGCATTTCTGACGTTTTTTGTGTTTTTCATCCTTGATAGCTTTTTGGTCATTTGTTATGTGACTATGACTTGTTTGCTCCATTCTCTACAGTGCTTTAGAAGGTCTGTGTTGTCTTTATAAATTTTGCTTGTGGATACCTTTCTGTTATATATTTTTAATTTTATTAAAATTAACTGATTTTCTGCTATATAAAATGAAGAATTTAACATCCACATATACATTTTGGTCTGAGTTGTTTTTCCCTTTTAAATGCAGATAACTATTATCATTTTGTGAGGACTTTTTCATTTATTTATTTATTTATTTTAAGATGGAGTCTCGCCTTGAGGCCCAGGCTGGAGTGCAATGGCATGATCTTGGTTTACTGCAACCTCTGCCTTCTGGGTTCAGGCGGTCCTCCTGCTTTAGCCTCCTGAGTCGCTGGGATTACAGACACATGCCACATTGCCTGGCTAATTTTTTTGTCTTTAGTAGAGACGGGGTTTCGCCATGTTGGGCAGGCTGGTCTCCAACTCCTGACCTCAAGTGATAGGCCCGCCTTGGCCTCCCAAAGTGCTGGGATTACAGGCAGGAGCCACCATGCCCGGCTAGGACTTTTTAATGTCTTCCGTGTTTTGATTTTTATGTGAAGTTGAGGACCATAAATTTTAATACACTATAAACTAAAATATAGAAACCCATTGTGATTTTCAAGGGTCTCTCATTCATGATGCTGTTAGTGACTAGATCTAGATTTTAGAGATTGATTTGTGTTGTTTTCCAGAAGAGGAATTTTTTCTTTAATTTTTTGTATTGTCATGGTACCTTTTTATTAAGGTGATTCTTTACTTTTGTTACGTCTTTTTTTTTTATGTTGCTTTACTTGAGTTTGTTGATTTTTTAAATCATAATTTGACACTCATATTGTTTTAATAAAGATGTCTAAATCCATTTATGTTTATCATAACCAACATGTTTGATCTTATGTAACTGAATTTCTGACTTTTCTAAAACGTATTTTATTAAATAAAAGCAATAACAGTCTAAACTTCTTAGATGGCTTTATTAACTATAAGGGGCAAGTGTGTATATGTGTGAGAGTATGATGAAGCAAATATGCTCTTAAATTTTTTAGCGCTTGAGACAGCCTTCTCCTGTAGTTCCTGCTCTTCAGAACAAAATTACAAGCAGACTCCAAAGACCTCCTTCAATTGACAGCATCATAAGTTCCTTTATTCATGTATGTGCTTTAGTTTTTATTTGTTAATCCTAGCTCAGTTATTTTGGATTGGGGGATCAAATGAAATTTTCTTTTTCATCATATTTGGGAGGGTTGAATATTTTCAGATCTGAAATACAGTTGATATCTACAGTAATTTGCCTGCTGCTTTGATTGTAACTGACAGTACTTGATACCCTGAAGTTTGTTTCCACAAACTATAATTTAGCAAATGATTCTTGTCCAGGCCCCTAGCTATAAATATGCTCATGAAGCCTGTTATACTTTAGACTGAGCTCCAAGGAAAAGAGAACTGGGAAAATGTTCTGAGATTGATCCTCAAGTTGATGCTTGAAAAGTATGCAGGAATTTGCCTTGCAAAGGAGGGTGAGGGATTTTCAGCTTGTACAGAGTCATGGAGAGCACTGTAAGCTCATGGCACATGTGGAGAATCTTCTATGGTGTGGTCTGGCCTGATGATGCCAGAAGGCAGCAGAGGAGGTGGAGGTCAGAACATATGTGGCATGTTGTATGGAGTGCTAAGAGCTTTGATTTTGTTACATAGGCTGGTGGATTCCAGAAAGGCTAATCACCCAAATAGGCAAGAAATATGTCAGAAGAACCTGTTTCTTAATCCCACCCTTTGAGATTCTGATTTAGTAGGTCTGTGATAGATAATGTATGGGAATTCACTGTAATGTTTTAAGTAGGGGAATGACATGGCCACTTTTATATAATGTTTTTTCAGGCAATGGTGTGGAGATAAGTTTTGGAGGTGGGGCAGGACTAAACATGGAGATAAGATGCTTTTGCAGAAGTCCAGATGTGAGACTGAGGATCCAAACAAAGGCAGTGGCACCAAGAACTGAGAAGGTGTGACAGCTTTACAATACATTTGAGAGACATAATAGTACTATTTGTTGACTGTGTGGTGGTCAGGAGTCTATGATAACTTTCAAGTTCTTGGTAAGGGTTATATAGAGTAGGCACTTGAAAATATGAATTGTGGCTGCAGAAAGAGTTCTGGACTTGATTTGTAGTCCTGTACACCATCAACATATTGGTGTTTGTTAAATTAGTACCATCGTGTAGGATCAGTGAGTGCCTAGAAGAGAAGTAAAGGAGGCTGAGAATAGAATACTAGGGAATTACCAATATTTGCGAAGCAGAGAAAGGAATGGAGAGAGGGTGAGAGACAATGGCAGTGATAGCAGCTGTGACTGGCCAAGTAAAATGCCCACTGAATGTGTCACTTGGGATCACTTCATGACTTTCGTGAAGGCAGTGTTGTTGGAGTGATGCATGTGAAAGCAAAGGCCATAGCTGTGTGTTGATAAGTGAATGAGAATAGGCAGTCAACCCCAAAAGTACTGCATTTTACTATTCTTTCAGGAAGCTCAGCTGTGAAGGGAAGGACAGAATGGACAGGAGACAGTGAGCAATGAAGAGTGAGGTAAAATTGTTCTTTTAAGAAATGGAGAAGTTTTTACACATAGGTTGAGAGAAAGGTGCTTGGAGAGAGGAAGTTGGAAAAAGAATTATTGGAGTAGGATAGGAAACAATTATAAGATACAGAGTAGAGATGAAGGGATTCTCTTTGGGTAGAAGCAAGGACACTTCCATTGTGATGAGAAGGAAGAATAGCTATACAAGTGGGTAAATTTTAGAGGTAGAGATAATGTGGAGTTTGGTTTTCTTTACATATAAATACTTCAAAAAATTACTCCCTTCAAGCTTCTGTGTAGAGAAGACATACTGAGCATGATGTCTTTGTCATTATTGTTAAACAGGAAAGTTCCATGTCCAGGGCACAGTCACCCCCAGTACCTGCCAGGAAAAATCAGCTTCGTGCAGAAGGTAGAGTTAACTACTAAACCTGTTCCCGAGAGTATTTCTCTTTTTAGCTTTTCGTTTTGAAATAATTATAAACTGATGGAAAATTGCAGAAAGAGTATAGAGAGGTGCTGTGTACCCATTCCCCAACTTTCCCCTGGGGTAACATCTTAGGTAGTACAGTATCACAGCCAGGAAGTGGACACTGGTGTACTCTACAGACCATTAGATTCCACCAGTTTTTACATGCATTTATATATGCATATCTCTGTACATTTTTATCATGCACAATTTGTGCAACCACCACTACAATCAAGATACAGAATTGTTCCATCACCACAAAGGAACTCCCTTGTGCCTCTCATTTATAGTTGTGCTCCCCCAAGAATATCGCTTCTAAAATTCCTGTATTATAAAAAATGTACTTGTAGGTCCTAGTGACATTATGATCTGTGTATGTGTGTATATATAAAATGTTAAAATATCTTTCATAAAATTTTCTTTCTGAGCAGTTTCGCTTTATTATTAGTGTTTAATCTTTTGTTCTTATTCCTGTCTTGTGTTTTATTTATCAATGGGAATTTGCAGAGGAGAAAAATAACGTAATTATGGAATTGTCAGAAATGAGAAAACAACTTCGTAGTGAAGAGAGGCGTCTACAAGAGCGATTGCTACACATGGACAGTGATGATGAAATCCCTATCAGGCAAGTTTAGAATTGCATTTTTTGTTTTCTCTTGAGTTCTTTTATCTTATTTCACCTAGCCAATAATTTTGTAGGTTGGGAACAGGACTAATTCATCTTTCTTAAAATCTCCTTACTTTCCTGATTTTAGTCTTTTACCAAATCAGTTGTAGAAATTTAGTTCTCAAGGGGATTATTGTTGTAGGGATGGACATTTCCCTATTGGAATAATTATAGAAGGTAGTTGCATTTTAGAACTTCTTTTATCTGTTTTTTTAATATTTCCCATTAATAACATAGTTTTCTGAAATACTTTTTTTCAACAGAAACACTTACAGACTACTAAACATTTCTGATAATTTTTGCCAGAGTCATAAATTTTCTAAAGCAGTCTTCTTCAAACTTCAGTTTACACTGTTTAAGTAGATTGTAAAATCAACATAGTGGGTAACTACCATATTTTCTTTCTCTTTTTAAAAATAAACTTTATGTTTTGGGATAATTTTGATTATTAAAAAGTTACAAACAATACGGAGAGTTTTTGTACCCCCTTCATTTGGTTTTCCCTATTGTTAACATATTGTGTTTCTGTGGTATGTTTGTTACAACTCAGGGGCTGACATTAGAACATTACTCTGAACTAAATTTGAGACTTGTTGGATTTCTCCATTTTTCTGCTGATGTTTTCCTTCTGTTCATGGGCCTCATACAAGATGTACCACATTGCATTTAGTTATGTCTCCCAGTCTCCTCGGGTCTGGGACAGTTTCCCAGTCTTCCCTTGTTTTACTTAACTGTGAAAGTCTGCATGGGCACTGACCAAGTATCCTGTAGAGAGCCTCCTCCTCCCAAGTCTGAATTTGTCTGATGTTTTCTGATAATTAGACTGGGGAACACAGGTGCTATTCTGACATCACATTGTGTCGGGGTACATGATATCCACGTGATACCTCTGGAAATGTTAACCTTGGTTAAAGTAATGTTTGCCAGGATTCTCCACTAGAAAATTTGGTCACAAATTACAAAATCTAGCACACTGGCAAGAGTGAGAAAGGGGTGGAATTAAGTTTTATCTCTCGGAGCAGGGGTTACATACATATAGTTTTTGAAGTTCTTCCATAAGAAAGATTTGTCTCTTCTTCCATTTATTTAATTCAGTCATTTATTTATCACTGTCATCTCATGTATATTTATTTTATACTTTGGGTTATAAGCCAGTGCTACATTATTTATTTCACAAATTGCTCCAACTTTGGCCATTGGGAGCTCTTTCAGGAGGGCTCCTGTGTCTTTTTGACATGTCCCCACCCTTTTGTTTTTGGAACACTTCTTTTTTTGTTACTACCAGATGCCTCAAGATCATCTTGTATTTCTCCTGCCCCATCCCTAGAATCAGCTGTTTCTCCAAGGAGCCCTGGTTCCTTTTGGAGAATGTATTTAGAAACCAAATAAGCTGGGTCTGCTTATTGCTGGGTGTCAATGCTTCTAGGCCCTCTGGATAATATATGTATGTATACTAAGTCATAAATATAAACATATCTATAATTGTTCCTATGTCTGTCTATTTGTATACATATTAAGTTCATGCTGATGTCTCTGACTCTAATCCACTATGTGGTAGGATTTTAACATAGCATGTTAATTTGCCTAATTATGCTTTGTTTAGATTTCTGTTTGAATTCTTCAGGAATATCGAAACTAGCTAAATAAGTTGAAGAAATTTCAGGATATAGATTGGCTAGATGATGATACATAATCCAAGGTGGTACTTTTCAGTGATTCAGTAATTCTCCCATAGTAGGTCAGTAAGTTCTAAGTAATTGAGAGGTAGTATATTTTTTCTGTATTTACTTTTACAATGTTATAAATGCCTTAACTGTGTAGCTTTCCATCTTCTAAACATGCATATTTATCAGTTTAATGGGTTGTTGATATTTTACTTTTATTTTCATTAAAAAATTCTTTTGGCAAACCAGTATGATTTAAGAGTATTCAAACAGCCTCTCAATTTTCTCACTTGAAAATTATACATGATAATTTCTAACCCTTGAGAGTCTAGTGAAGAATAAATAAATGTATGATTTTGAAATAAATAAATGTATTTGTGACTAAGTTATAACTTAAGTTAGATGTAGTACATTAGAATTATCATCATTTAACAATAATTGGTTAAATACATTTACTTTGGAATAATTTTAATATATCCTGCTTAAAGACATCTCAGAGTTAGTTCTTTATTTCAATTTCATGAATATTTGTATAAAAGGAATCTCTTATTCACTAATTAATTTACCATATTATCCAACTCTTATTATGTGTGCTAGGCTCAAAACAAATGTGCTGAATGCAGCTCACATGTGAATATTTAATAACCTACTTCCTAACTTAACAGTTTATTTAACTATTAGCATTAATAGAAATTAGACAGCAGTACAATTTAATGGTCTCTTGGATGCCTTTTTAGTATTTTACATTTTAATGAATCTCCATAGAGTTCCTTTCTCCTCAGGTATTAGAGGTTTCTGTCAGTCTTGACCAGGGTCCTTTTATGGCCCCAGTGAATGGTTCCCTGCAAAAAAGGAAACTCCATTAAAGCAGGGGCATCATCTCTGGGGATCCCAGCTATCTTGTCTTGGTGCGTAGGGAAGATTTAGTGATCAACAAATGATGGAAGGAGTCTGACTAAGCCTCATAATCAGTATAGCTTAGAGCTACATTTTCAAAAATAGAGGAGACCTAGTGCTGAAGGAAGCATCAGTAGGTGTTTTATTTTCCGGACTAGAAACACCATCCCTTTCTTATCATCACTCCCTTAAAGCCCTTGCAGAAAATTCCCTTACTTCCTGCTGTCTGTTAATTTCCTAGGTACCACAGGAATCAGTTAACTAGTTAGGTATCAAGTTCCTTGGTAAGGTCTATTGTAAAGTTAATGTTGGGTCCTCTGAATAATGCCCACATTGAACTACATATTAGTATCATATTTCTATTTTTTTTTTTTTTTTTTTTTTTTAAGACAGAGTCTTGCTCTGTCGCCCAGACTGGAGTGCAATGACACGATTTTTGGCTTACTGCAACCTGTGCCTCCTGGGTTCAAGTGATTATCTTGCCTCAGCCTCCTGAATAGCTAGATTACAAGCACCTGCCACCATGCCTAGCTAATTTTTGTATTTTTAGTAGAGATAGCGTTTTACCATGTTGGTCAGGCTGGCCTCGAACTGCTGATCTCAGGTGATCACTCACCTCAGCCTCTCAAAGTGTTGGGATTACAGGGGTGAGCCACCCGACCCAGCCAGTACCGTATTTGTTTTTCTTTTTTTTGGAGACAGAGTCTCTCTCTGCACCTAGGTTGGAGTGCAGTGCCACAATCTTGGCTCATGGCAACCTCTCCCTCCCGATGCAAGCGATTCTAGTGCCTCAGCCTCCCAAGTAGGTGGGACTATAGGTGCAGGCTACCACACCTGGCTAATTTTTGTATTTTTTAGTAGAGATGGGGTTTTTCCATATTGCCCAGGCTGGTCTTGAACTCCTGAGCTCAAGCAATTTGTCTACTTCCCAAAGTGCTGGCATTATAGGCATGAGCCACAGGGCCCTGCCTATTACTGTATTTCTATGTGTGATTTCTGTTTTAGGCTGAAGGGAAGGTAATTTATTGATTATCTAATGCAAGTCAGGTGCTAGGTACTCAACAATATAAAATTTATCTTAATTCTGGCTGGGTGCGGTGTCTCATGCCTGCAATCCCAGCCATTTGAGAGACCGAGGCCTGTGGATCACCAAGGTCAGGAGTTCAAGACCAGTCTGGCCAATGTGGCAAGAATTCCATCTCTACTAAAAATACAAAAAAAAAAAAAAGCCAAGTGTGGTGGCACACACCTGTAGTCCCATTTACTTGGGAGGCTGATGCAGGAGAATTGCTTGAACTGGAGGTGGAGGTTGCAGTGAGCTGAGATCGCTCCACCACACTCTAACCTGGGCAACAGAGCAAGGCTCTGTCTCAAAAAAAGTTTTTTTTAATCTTAATTCTCTTGTTCACAACAAGATTATAGGGGGTAGACATCTGCATTTTACAGATGATGAAATCAAGATCATACTGCTAATAACAGAGCTGGTCTTTGAATCTCAGTTTCTCTGACCTCAAAGACTGTGATCTTTCATGCTCCATGAACGTTTTATTTTTTTCCACGAACATTTTAAAGTAAAGCTAAATCATTCTACTCTCGTAATAAGTTATCTTGCATCTGAGGATTTTGAAAAATTTCAATGACATTATAGATATGCTATATTTTCAGATAAAGGATTGAACTAATAGAGCTATTTAAATATTTTTTTGTTTTAAGAGACAATGATTTCCTTCTGTTGTCCAGGCTGGAGTGTAGTGGCGTGATCACAGCTTATTGTAGCCTTGGCCTCTTGGGCTTAAGCAATCCTCTTGTCTCAGCAGCAGCCAGGACTACAGGCCCACACCATCATACTTGACAAATTTTTTTTTTTTTTTTTTGAGATGGAGTCTCACTCTGTCACCCAAGCTGGAGTGCAGTGGCATGATCTTGGCTTATTGCAGCCTCCTCCTCCTGGGTGCAAGCAATTCTCAGGCCTTAGCCTCCCGAGTAGGAGGGACTGGAGGCACATACCACTATGCCCAGCTAAATTTTATATTTTTTAATAGAGACAGGGCTTCACCATTTTGGCCAGGCTGGTCTCAAACTCCTAACCTCAGATGATTTTCCCGCCTCAGCCTCCCAAAGTGCTGTGATTACAGGTGTGAGCCACTGTGGCTAGCCAACTTTTTTTTTTGAGATGGAGTCTCGCTCTGTCATCCAGGCTGGGGTTTACTGGTGTGATCTTGGTTCACTGCAACCTCCTCCTCCCCAGTTCAAGTGATTCTCCTGCCTCAGCCGCTCGAGTAGCTGGGACTACAGGCATGTGCCATTGCACATAGCTAAGTTTTGTGTTTTTAGTTGAGACAGGTTTCTCCACGTTGGCTAGGCTGGTCTCGAACTCCTAATCTCAGGTGATCTGCCTGCCTTGGCATCCCAAAGTGCTAGAATTAAAGGCATGAGCCACTGCACCCGGCCTAATTTTTTTTTTTTTTTTTTTTTTGGTAGTGATGAGGTTTTGCTTTTTAGGCCAGGCTGGTATTAAGCTCGTGATTTCAAGCAGTCCTTCTCTCTCAGCCTCCCAAAGTGCTGGGATTACAAATGAGTGCCACAGCAGCTTGCCTAGAATAATTTTTTAATAATATGATGTGGTGAGACTAAATTTATTTTACAGTGAATTAGATGTGAACTCACATATTTTTCCCATAAAGCATATTTTATGATTTGTCATTTATCTATAGGAAAAGAGAAAGGAATCCCATGGGTGTATTTGATATGGCTAGACATCGGTTGCAAGCTCCTGTCAGAAGACAGTCACCTAAGGGCTTAGATGCTGCCACTTTTCAGAATATTCATGATTTTAATGAGCTGAAAGATAGAGGTGAGTAGATTGCTGCTTGTTTAAAGATAGAGCAGGAGTGTTCTACCCATGTTTAAATATCCATAAAGATCTTTGTACCCTTTTTCTAAAGTAGAATTTTATTTACAGTGTATGTTTTAAGTTAAAATGAATGTAAGTTCTGTATTCTCTAGGTCTTCAGTTTACCAGTCTGGTAGATGAAGCTTTAGTTTGACTAAGTTCTTTCGGGGAGTATATAGTGTTAAAAGTCTGGGATGGATGAGATCAGAGTATGAAGAGTAGAACTTTGCATTTAATGGAGGATGGACAGACTGAGCTCATGAAAAAGACTGAGGAGAAGCCAGAGAGACTGGAGGAGGAGGAGGACAATGTAGGATCCTGAAACCTGAGGGGAAAGAGTATCAAGGAGACGGGATTGTGTAAGACGAATACTGGAAAATGTCAGTTGGATGAGGTCATAGGTGACCTCAGCTAGAGCTTTTTAAGTGGAAGTTGTGATCAGAAGCCAATTAACTTTGGAATGAGGATTGACTAGGAGGCAAGATGTTGGAGATAATAGGCATAAGCCTTTTGGAAGACCCTTGGCTGCAAAAGGGAAGGGAAGCTGGATCAGGAGCTGGAAGAGTCATTAGGATGTGAATATTAGGAGCTATGCAGGAGAAAGAGGCTCAGGCTCTAGGAAAGGTGGGAGAGTGATTATCGAAGTGAGCAGGGTCCCGGGGTAGGCAGGAGGAAATCTAGAGGATTTGAAGGAAGAGGTGGGAGAAGCTTTGATACAGCCATTTATAGGGTGAATGGAAGAGAAAGTTTAGTAGGGAAACGGGATTGCCAGGATACATGAGGTCTAGGAGACTGAGAATGTGTGGAGGAACCAAAGTGGATGTTGTGTGCTTTTCCTTTACGCATATTCAGTAGAGCAGGTGTTGGAGCAGAAGAGGCAGATTATGGGATGTGCATATAACCTAGGCCAGAAAACTGGAATTTAAACATTTTATCATTTTGAAAGTGATATTTACTGTAGCAAATTTCAAAATACAGAAAAATAGAAGGAAAAATCACTTTAGTCAAACTGTCTATATATAAGTACCATTATCATTTTCGATGTTTTCTAGTCTATCTGTGCATAATTAAAAGATAAATTGTGTTAATTTTCTCTATTTTTTCACATAGTTTTACTAATTACATATACCATAGTTAATTTTTGTGCTATCATAAATTGATTACTTTCTATCTGCCAGGCATTATGTTAAGCCCGTGGGTCTCATGAGGAGTTTGGTCTGGGGACCTGTGAAGTCAAAATTGTTTTTATTATAAACTAAGACATTATTTGTCTTTTTCATTCTCATTCTCTCATGTGTGTACAGATTATCGAGAGGCTACATGACGTAATGATTTTATCTCTTTGAAGCTAACAGAATGTGTCCTTGTGTATTCTTGTGCTTTAAAAATTTCTTTAATTTCTAATGTGGGGGGGGGAGAGAGAGAGAGAGAGTGTGTGTGTGTGTGTGTGTGTGTGTGTGTGTGAGAGAGAGAGTGAGAGACAGACAGACAGACAGACAGACATAAGTAAAGCTCTTTGGGGTCCTCAATTTTTAAGAGTGTAAAAAGATCTTGAGACTAAAAAGGTTTAAGCCGTAGAAATTAGCCATTCATTTCCCTGTGTTATGACATCTTGCCCTCATTCACCTATGATTTGGTTGTTGGTATTGCTTTTTAATGAGTTTGGAAGCAGTGAAGCCAGGGACCAATCCAAGTTTATGTGTCCAGAGGCTTCTGTTAACTTCTGAAAATGGCTATTACCCATTTTCACTATTTTGTTCTTTTAATAGTTTCTGATCATAAAGCTTTATACATACCTAGGACTGTACAACTGTATCATTTCTTTATATTCCAGCAGTATAATTAGTGAGTCAAAGGGAATAATTTCAAGGCGTTTTATATGTTCGAACTGTATGTTTCTTTTCAAGATTTAAAAATTTTTATGCTTGGCTGGGCGCAGTGGCTCACACCTGTGATCCCAGCACTCTGGGAGGCTGAGGCGGATGGATCATGAGGTCAGGAGTTCAAGATTAGCCTGGCCAACGTCGTGAAACCCCATCTCTCCTTAAAATACAAAAATTACCTGGGCATGGTGGCAGGAGCCTGTAGTTCCAGCTGCTTGGGAGGCTGAGGCAGGTGTGAATCACTTGAACCCAGGAGGTGGAGGTTGCAGTGAGCTGAGATCCTGCCACTGCATTCCAGCTTGGGTGACAGAGTAAGACTTAGTCTCAAAAAAAAAAAAAAAAAAAAAAAATTACTCTTGCAGGGGATATTCATGAAATTGTGGCAGAGGTAAATTCCTTCAGAAATGGCATTTCCCCCTCAAGTTCCAGCCAGTCTACATTTATCTTGCTTTCTGCATATTTGTAAGGACTAAAATATTAATTGGTCAGTAACATTTTTTTCATGTTTCTGGTTGATTTTAGGGATTAGCTGTGATTACAGTGTCTTATGGCTGTCTCAGTCATTGCTATGTGACTATCCACTTGGATATACCTGTGCGTAGTTTGTGTTCTGGGTAGCATCCTGGGGGCTAAGACAGGTAGAGGTGGAGAATGCAGCATTCACTGCTTGTTGTGGGGTATTCCTTATGTTGATAAGTTTGTGAAAAGGCACTTACTAAAGAATATTAATTTCATGTTCTTTAGTTTTGTGGCTGTTTTAGTGTCCTTTGACTTTAGTGATGTTTTACTATTTATATCGTTCCTTGATTTTGAAATTAGGTTATGGTACTTACAGTGACGTTTTATAAAATCCCATTTGAAAACAACATTTAACTTAGTTATATAATGTATTTTTTTTACCAGATTCAGAAACACGAGTTGATCTGAAATTTATGTATCCAGATCCCCCAAGCGATTATCACACCTTAGAGATTCAGCAGCAAGCCCTGCTAAGAGAGCAGCAGAAGAAGCTGAACAGAATAAAAATGCAGGAAGGTGCCAAAGGTAAAAACTAATCATTGTTGTGTCAAATAGTATCAGCATGCTGTTCTTCTGTAGGCTTTCTGCATCTCTTCTATTGATTTCAGTCCCAGGCATCCTCCTTTCACTGGCAGCCCTATGTTCACAGGGCCCGTTTGGCCTGTAGTCCCAGAAAAGAAGAAGTAAGAGAGAGCTCCGAGTGGCTCCACTGGGGTGATGTATTCATGCATGAGAGGGGCTTAGCCATTCACTGTAGCCAGGAGGATTAATACTTTGACCAGGCCAGGTGACATCTGCATCCAAAGGAAGGAACCAAAGGAAGGAATGTCAGGCAAACATGTCAGTGAACCAAAGGAAGGCATGTCAGGCAAACATGTCAGTGCCCTGTCGGGCATTTGTCTGCTGTGGTGTGAGTGTGTTCATGTTTTGATGTGGTATAATATCTGTAAAGCATCAGACTGGATTATGAATATGTTTTTGTATAATCAACCAATTGAAAAATACTTAGTGAGTGGTTACTAGGAATGTAGGTACTGGCCTATATCCAGGGGATATGGTGATGAATGACATAGGCTGCTGCTCTCGAGGAGGTTATACTCTATTGGAGAAGTTAGCTGCTGAAGAAGTATAACTGTGATAAATGCAAAGAAGAACTCTACGATCCCACTGGGTTGGGGTGGGTGGGCACCTAGAAGCAGAGCAGGGCTAGTTGTCTCAGAAAGCACTGATGGGCTCTGTTGATAGCCAGGTGTACTGCATGGCCTTCCCGTCTGTATTTCACCAGCCTTCAGGCCATTGAGGTTAACCATGGGAATACGTCATGAAAACACAACAATCAAGATAAGGAAGGGATGCTCCTGCCAGTTATTTTTATGAAAATTTAAGATCCTACTTTGGGAGACTGATCTGGCTTCCAGAATCTGTGGAAGCTTCTTTGATGTGATGAATCTGAGGATAGCATCACAGGAGTAAGTGATACAGCACTTTAGGCCCAGATCATAGGTCAAGACATTGATAAACATTTGTATAGGGATGATCTTCCCTTCATCTGGTACAGAATTTTTAATAACAGCCTCATAGCCCTGTGACAGAATAAGCCTAATTCTAGGATAAGGAGTAGATGTATCATCTGGAGAAAGGAAAGAAGCAAGTATATTCTTCAACCTTTTTTACTCAGTTTGGTAGCATTTTTCTTTAATCTCAAATGAAGATCTGATCTTGTGGGATTTGGCAACTTAGACTGATTAGCCCAAAAGTAGTCCCTAGGTGGATACAGGTACATTTTGACACTGAAGGTATCTATCTCCCACAGCAGTCTCCCACCAGCTTCCAGCAAACACTGCCATGAACTAATTCATAAGAATATGGCCTCACCATAAACAGTCAAAAACATGTCTATAACATGTCTGAGAAGGAATATGGGTTATCATTGGCAGCCTGTTTATTCTCAAAGGTAGTATCTGAAAAGGGCAAAATGGTACTATTCAAAGGAGCACATGGGAAGGCTGGTCATATTGTAGAGGCTTTGAGATACCTTATCCAAGATCTTTGCCTCTGGAACTAAGTGCCTGGAATTGAGCTTATTTCAGTTCCACGTAGGGGAGCCCCTGTTTAACTCCATGCAATAATTTTCTATAGGTTGTTGAAATATGACAGAATATGGTGAAGGATCCTGAATTGATTATTTTCTTTGTCTTTTGGCATTAAAATTTGCAATGATTTTACTCATCATGTTCATTCATGTGAATGGGAGAATTTTATGCAGCTAGAATGGATGCTGGGCTATGTTTATTAATAAGTGATATCTTTAAAATATTCTGAAGTGTGGTAGTTGAAAAGTAATTTCCAGTAGAAAGCTAGTCAAAAAGGACATGTTAAAATTTAATTTTATACATTTAAGCATTTTCTGACCTTTTAATTTGCTTTTGTTCTCCGTTGACTATAGTTGACTTAGATGCCATCCCAAGTGCTAAAGTACGAAAGCAAAGAATGGTAAGCAACCAGTTAAAATTTTTTCAAGTTAGTTTTTGGGGGATTAAAAATTTATAGGCATATGATGATCAAGTAATTCAAATTTTGAATTATTCAGGAATATTGAATTATGAAAGAACATGAGTCTTATCAGTGAAGTAGATAGCTTAACAAGTGTTAGTATAATATATAGAGAAAACATACTGTAATAGCTAAGAACAGGATTCTAGTGCTAGGCTGTTCCAGTTAGTCTCTTTTTATCTGTGTGACTTAGGGCAAATTATTTAATCTCTTTATGCTTCAGCTTCCTAATCTGTAAAGTGAGGATAACAGTACTTACCTCTGAGGTAGCTATAAGGAGTAAATTAATATTTGCAAGATATTTAGAGATAGGCCTGGCATATAAGTTTTATATAAGTGTTATTAAATAAATAAAATTAGCTCAAGTGTTGTTGAGAGAACTAAGTGAGATAATATATTAAAAGCCCTTACAGCAGGGCCTGGCCCATGATGACTGCGATGTGTTTGCTGTCATTACCATGAGAAGTAGCGGGAGTGGGAGTCTGTAATGGAAGTAGTGCTGAGGTCTACAAATAAAATAAGCAAAAGAAGGAAACAGAGCGATAACTCTCACCCATATCCTGAGGGGGTACTTTTTTCTGCAAGACTGAAATGAGTATTTCTTATGGACCAGAAATTGTTCTAGGTGCCAGGGTATAGGAGTAAACAAAAGGGACAAAAATCCTTGCCCTCTGACAGCTTACTTTTCAGAATATAATCAAATACATCGATAGTTTGTTGAAACATGGTGCTATGGGAAAGGCAACAGCAGAGAAGGCAGCTGGAGAACCCTGGGTGGGAGAGTTTATAGCTGGAAATACAGTGGGCATGGGGGCTCACTGGGTAGGGAACATTCGATTAAATAAGGACACCAGGAGGTGGCCATAATTGTTGGGGGGACTTCTGGAGGATGAACATTCCAGGAAGAGGCCCCAGTGGGAGTTGGCATGGTGCATGTAAGGAGCAGCGGGAGAGCCATAAGCAAGGGCCAGCGGGTCACGTGGGGTGGGGAGTGTCAAGGGGAGGCAGCAGGGCCTTGGGGGCCATTCCAGGGCTTTGCCTTTGACACTTGTGCATGTGATGAGAAGCCACCAAGGTCTAAGTGGAAGAGTGACATGATCTGCTTGAGGTTTTTACTTAATCCACAGACTGCTGTGCATTTAGACTGAGTGGGACAGCAGGCTATTGCAGTAATCTAGGCAAGAGACAAGCTCATTTTCTGATAATGAATGCTGTGCATCGGTATAATTCATTGCCTTAAAAATTAATGGACAGCTCTCCTCTGGAGTGTCTTAGTAAAGCCCAGAAATGTGGTAAAAATGCAGGGAGGTGGAGTTGGATGACTTTAGGTTCCTTCTGACATATCAGTGTTGTTACTCTCTTTATGTAAATTTAAATTTTCTTTCATTTTGTAGCTCATTATAATAAGCCCAACCTTAGCATTATTTTTGTCCTTACTATACTATATGGTCCGCTGTGTCTGTGCTGCATCATCATGACAATTGCTGTCACATAGGGCTGTCATTATCTGAGGGTAAACCCCTCCCTTCTCTGACACTGACCTACTCCAGAGCAGAAACTCTTAATTCATCTTTGTATCCCCAGTTCCTAGCATGGAAGAAATATTAAGTATGCTATACAGGTTTATTGAAAGGATGAATGAATCTTGGCTGTGGCTTAAAGACTTAATGTTTAATGGGGATCTTTGCTTCATACTCATATTTTCATCACTCATAATGTGATCCTTTTATTTGACTTCAACCATAAGGGGGCAGGAAGGAGTGGAGTTAGGGAGTAAATGTGTTAGCTTGTAGAATCTGTAACCTGGAGAGAGCGTCTTCCATTGCTATCACTGTCTTGGTGGGAATTGTGTGTGTTAAGGCTTTCCAGTATTTTCTGAACATTGGAGTGTAGTCAGTCCTACTTCTCCTCATCCTCTTCTGCTTTTAGGGAGAACAATATGGAAACCTGTGCCTCTTATTAGTACAAATTTGTTGTTTTTCCACACAAAACTAATAAAAATAGTAATTGATACATGTTTCTTTTAGCCCAGAGATGACACTAGTGATTTCTTGAAAAACTCATTATTGGAATCTGATAGTGCTTTTATTGGTGAGTATATTTATTTTTTATTTTATTAAGGCTATATTGTTGAAATATTAAACCTTTCTCCATTCTTACAAAACCAGTGCTACTATACTCTGTTGTACAAAGTAGTTGAAAAAAAGGAATATTTTTTTTGTTTTAATGAATAACCATCAGATATGCCTTGCAAGGTTTTCAAAATCAGAATTACTGAAATGGACTTTAAAAGTCTTAGGAATAGTTGACAAATCTGTACATGAATATTCATAACAGCCTCATTTCTAATGCCAAATGCTGGAATCAGCCCAGATGTCCTTCAGTAAATGAATGGTTAAAGAAACTCTGGTACATTCGTGCCATGGAATGCCACTCAGCACTAAAACGGAACAAACTTTTGAAACTTGCATGAACTTGGATGGTTCTTCAGGGAAATAGTCTGAGCAAAAAAGACAATTCCACTAAGTTATACACTGTATGATTCCATTTACGTAACATTTTTGAAATTACAAAATTAAATTGAGAACAGATTAGTGGTTGCCAGGGGTCGAGGGATAGGGAGAGGTGTATATAGGTATCTTTGTGGTTTGGGAACTGTTTAATATGTTTATGAGGGTAGACACACACATGTAAATGGGAAATAAAATACAGATCTTAATACACACATAAAAACACATAAATGAGTATTGCTAAGATGGTAAATTTGAATAAGATCTGTGGATTCTATCAGTATCAATATCCTGGTTGTGAGATTATACTTGAGTTTTGTAAAATGTTACCATGGGGGAAACTGGACAAAGTGTATAAGGAATGTCTATTATATCTTACGTCTGTGTGTGTACCTTAATTATTTTAATCTATTTACTATTATCTTAATATTTCAGTCAAAAAAGTTGTAAGACTAGTCTTCAGAAGATAAGTAAAGGTACCATGGTATTTTTAATTTTTTTTTTAAAGTAATATACTCTTACATACTCTGATCATGAGTATTTCTGCTAGCCAAGGGTCAACAGGGAGTGATCTGGTCTACATATTAGTTGTATATCATGCCAATTACTTTAGATTTTCATGTGATAAAATTCCAAATTAACTTATATTTCGTCTTAATGGGTTTTGTTGTTTTTGAGACAGGGTCTTGCTCTGTCACCCAGGCTGGAGTGCAGCAACACAATCATGGCTCACTATAGCCTCAAATTCCTGGGCTCAAGCACTCCTTTCATCTTAGTCTTCCTGGTAGCTGGGATTACAGCATGTACCACCATACCTGGTTATCTTTTTTATTTTTTGTAGAGATGAGGTCTCCGTATGTTGCCCAGGCTGGTTTCAAACACCTGGATTCAAGGGAGCCTCCTGCTTCAGCCTCCCAAAGTACTGGGATTACAGGCATGAGCCACTGTACCAGATTTTTTTTTTTTTTAATGAGTTTTTCTTTTCCAAGGAAGACGCACTGGGGAGAGAAGGAAAGATAAAATGGCAGGAGACAGGGATGAGAAGATAGTTTGTCAGGGAAATGAGACCTGTCCTTCGTATCAGTGAAGATAGTCTGGGCCACTCAAGATGGTGTGTTGGAATATTGCGTGACACTAGACCAAAGGTACAGCAGTCTGCAGTCAACGGTCACTGCAAATGCCGCGTGAGTCATGGCTCTGTTAACCACTGCTCTAAGGAATATAAAGCTGGTCGTTTCAGTGCATCTTTTTTAAAAAAGTTTTTTAAAATTGTAAAATACATATAAACATAACATTTACCATTTGAAAGTGTACAGTTGATTGGCATTAAGTATTTCTATTGTGAAACCATTACTGTCGTCTATCTCCATTCATCTGTTTTCATCTTGAAAACAGAAACTCTTCATATTCAAGAGTAGTTCCCCATTGCCCTCTTCCTCCAGCCCCTGGCAGCTACCATTCTACTTTCCATCTCCATAAATATGACTAGGACCTCCTATAAGTGGAATCATACAGCATTTATCCTTTGATGACTGGCCTATTTAACTTAGCATAATGCCTTTGAGGTTTATCCATGTTATAGCATGTGTCAGATTTTTTTCCCCCCTTAGAGACAGGGTCTGTGTTGTCACTCAGGCTGCAGTGTAGTGGTGTGATCATGGCTTACTGCAGCCTTGACCTCCCTGTGCTAGGATGATTCTTCTCTCTCAGACTCCCAGGTGGCTGAAGACCACAGCACACACTACAATGCCTCAATAATTTTTTAAATTTTTATTTATTTTTTTGAATTTTAATTTTTTTTTCTTGAGATGGAGCCTTGCTCTGTTGCCCAAGCTAGAGTGCAGTGGCACAATATTGGCTCACTGCAACCTCCACCTCTTGGGTTCAAGCAGTTCTCCTGCCTCAGGCTCCTGAGTAGCTAGGATTACAGGACACCACGCCTGGCTAATTTTTTTGTATTTTTAGTATAGACAGGGTTTCACCATGTTGGCCAGGCTGGTCTCGAACTCCTGACCTTGTGATCCACCTGCCTCAGCCTCCCAAAGTGCTGGGATTACAGATGTGAGCCACTGTGCCTGGCCAATTTTTAAATTTTTTGTAGAGACAGGGTTTTGTCATGTTACCCAGGTTGATCTCGAACTCTTGGGCTTAAGTGAGCCTCCTGCCTCAGCCTCTCAAAGTGCTGAGCTTACGGGTGTGAGCTACCGCACCCAGCCAGATTTCCTCTTTTTTTATGCTGTGAATAATATTTCATTTTATGTGTGTACCACAATTTATCCATTCATCTGTCAGTAGATGCTTGAGTTGCTTCCACTTTTTGGCTATTGTGAATAATGCTGCTATGAACAGGTATAAAATTATCTGTTGGAGTCACTGATTTCATTTCTTTTGGATATACACTAAGAGTTGGTGTTTACTAGATCATACAGTAATTCTGTATTTAATTATTTGAAGAATCACCACAGTTTCCACAGCAGCTACACTATTTTACATTCCTGCCAGCAGTCCACAAAAGTTTTGATTTCTCTACATCCTTGTTAACACTTGTTACTTTGTCTTCTGAATAGTAGCAATCCTTATAGGTGATAGGTGTGAGGTGGCATGTCATTGTGGTTTTGACTTACATTTCTTTAATGATTAGTGATGTTGAAAATCTTTACATGTGGTTATGAACTTACTTGTCCATCATTTTTTTTTTTTTTGAGATGGAGTTTCGCTCTTGGTACCCAGGCTGGAGTGCAATGGCGTGATCTCAACTCACCGCAACCTCTGCCTCCTGGGTTCAAGCAATTCTCCTGCCTCAGCCTCCCGAGTAGCTGGGACTACAGGCATGCGCCACCATGCCCAGCTAATTTTTGTATTTTTAGTAGAGACGGGGTTTCACCTTGTTGACCACCAGGATGGTCTCGATCTCTTGACCTTGTGATCCACCCGCCTCGGCCTCCCAAAGTGCTGGGATTATAGGCGTGAGCCACCACGCCTGGCCTCCATCATTTTTTAAGAAATATCTATTTAGGATCTTTGCTAGTTTTTAAAATCAGGGCTTTTTGTTGTTGTTGTTATTGAGTTGTGGGAGTTCTTTGTTATATATTCTGGATATTACTCCTTATACATGATTTGCAAATGTTTTCTCCATAGTGGGTGGCCTTTTCATTATGTTGTGTACTTTGATACATAGGAGCTTAGTTTTAGCTGTTAATGTTTAGATGCCTAATCACAGTGTCAAAATACATGTCAGAACGTGACAGAATGGGAAGGAGAAATACATGAATCCACTATTATGGTTGCAGATTTTTAACACCTTTCTATCAGAAATGGACAGAGGCAGTAGACAGAAAATCAGTAAGGACATAGTTGAATTCAGCAACACTGTCAACGAACTGGAGATAATGGACATCAAAAGACAACTTCATTAACAACAGCAGAACAGACATTCTTCTTGGGGTCACATGGAACATTCACCAGAACAGATTACAACCTGGGCAAGAAAACAAACCTTAATATATGTAAAAGAGGATAAATCACATAGTATCTGTCCCCAGACCACCATGGAAATAAACTAGAAATCAGTAACAGAAAGATAGCTGGAAAAATCTCCAAATACCTGGGAAATTAAATACCACATTTCTAAATAACTCATGGGGCAGAGAAAAAATTTTATATTTTAAAATATTTTGATCTAATGAAAATGAAAATACAACTTCTCAATTTGTAGGAGGTAGCAGAAATAATGCTTATCTTTCTACTTTCCTAATGTATGCATTCGGTTAAATGTAAAATGCCAAACTCTAAAACTCATAGAAGATAACAGAAAATCTAGACGACCTTTGGTTATGGTGATGACTTTTAGATACAAAACCAAAGTCAGAATTAATGAAAAAAATAATTGATAAGCCAGACTATGTAAAAATTTAAAAAACTGGTAAATTTTTAAGATGTTCAAATTTATAGCCTTGAATGCATACATGAAGAAAGTAGAAAGATCTGAAATCAGTAAGCTTCCACATAACAAAATGAGAAAATAATTAAATCCAGAGTAAGCAGAAGAGAAATAATAAAAATTAGAACAGAAGTCAATGAAATTGAAAACAGGAAATCAATAGAGAAAATCATCGAAACCAAGAGTTATTTCTGAGAAGATCAGTAAGCCTCTAGCCAAACTATTAAGAGAGAAGACAAAAATTACTAATAATAGAAATAGAGCATATTTGGCTGGGTGCGGTGGCTCACACCTGTAATCCCAGCATGTTGGGAGGCCAAGGTGGGCAGATCACCTGAGATCAGGAGTTCAAGAACAGCCTGGTCAACATGGTGAAACCCTGTCTCTACTTAAAATACAAAAATTAGCTGGGCATGGTGGTGCGTGCCTACAGTCCCAGCTACCTGAGCGGATGAGGCAGGAGAATTGCTTGAACCTGGGAGGCGGAGGTTGCAGTCAGCTGAGATCGTGCCACTGCACTCCAGCCTGGGCGACAGAGTGAGACTCTCAAAAAGGGATGGGGGCGCATATCACTACAGGTTCCATGGAAGTTAAAAACATAGTCCAAGAAATACCATGAACATACCATGAACAACTCTATGCCCAGAAATCTGATAACCTAAAGTCGACAACCTATTCATGGTAACTTAGCAAACTAGGAATAGAGCAGAAACTTCTGAAACTTGATAAAGAATGTCGACAAAAGTCCTACATCTCACATCATGATGATGAGAAACTAGAAGCTTTCCTGTTAAGATCGGGATATCCTTTCTTGCCACTGATTAACATCATACTGGAAGTCCTAGCTAATATTAGCAGTAAGGCAGAAAAGGAAATAAACTGTGTACTGATTGGGAAGGTAGAAATAGAATTGTCTTTGTTCACAGATGACTTGATTGTCTGTAGGAAGTCTGAAGGAATCAACTAAAAAACTCCTGGAACTAGTAAGCAGTTATAGTAAAGTTGCAGGATGCAAGATTAATATAAAAGTCAGTCATTTTACAATATGCCAGCAATGTACAAGTGGAATTTGAAATTAAAAATGCAATACCACTTTGTTTTTTGAATAGTAGCAATCCTTATAGGTGTGAGGTGGCATCTCATTCTGGTTGGTAGGTAGGTAGGTAGGTAGGTAGATTAGAACTTCTCCCAAGAAATACTGAGGTTTAAATCAATCTATGATCTATCTATCTAACTATGAACTGCCTGAGGAAAACTACAAAACTGATGAGAGAAATTGAAGGACTACTAAGTAAATGGAGATATATTCCATGACCATGGACAGGATGACTCGATACTGTCAAGATGTCGGGTCTTCTCAACTTGACCTAGATTCAGTACAATCCCAATGAAAATCCCAGCAAGTTATTATGTGGATAGTAACAAACTGATTCTAAAGTTCATTTGGAGAGGCAAAAGATCCAGAATAGCCAACACAGTGTTTAAAGAGAACAGAGTTAGAGGATTCTTGTAGCTGACTTCAAGACTTGTGATAAAGTTGTAATAAACAAGATAATGTGGCATTAGTGAAACAATAGACCAGTTAAATGGAATATAGAGCCCAAAAATAGACGCATGCAGGCTGGGCACAGTGGCTCACACCTGTAATTCCAGAACTTTGGGAGGCCACTTGCGGCCAGGAGTTTGAGACCAGCCTGGGCAGCAAAGCAAGACCTTGTCTCTAACCACCCCCCAAAAAAGTGTGTGTGTGTATATATATATTATATATATATATATATAAAATTAGCTGGTTTGGTGATGCACACCTGGCTAGCTATTTGGGAGGCTGAGGTGGGAGGATTACTTGAGCATTGGAAGTTCAAGGCTACAGTGAGCTTTGATCACACCACTCACTATGCTCCAGCCTGGACAACAGAGAAATAACTTGTCTCAAAAAAAGAAAGAAAAAGACTCATGAAAATATAGTCAGCTGATCTTTCACAAAGGAGCAAAGGCAGTATTATGATCTAAAAAAAGGTAGTCTTTTCTACAAATAATGCTGGAACAACAGAACATCTGCATGTGAAAAAATAAATCTAGACACAGATCTTACACCCTTCACAAAAATTAACTCAAAGTGGATCTTACATCTAAATGCAGAATGCTAAATTGTTTTTAAAAACCCATACAGTATACATTTGGAAAATCTGAATATCAGTTCTACATTAAACAATGATAGTGTTGTATAAATGTTAAATTTTCTGAATGTTATAGATTTTAGCAGTGTAGGAGCCTTTTTCATAGAAGATACATACTGAAATATTTAGAGACAAAATGCTGTCATGTTTCCAACTTGCTGGTGTAGCAAAGTGTCTTGGCAAAACATGCCCCCAAATATATATAGAAATTGGCAAAGTAACTAATCGTGACTCTAAGTATTTGTATTATTCTAACTTTTCTTTAGGTATAATTTCTTTTCAAAGGAGTTGTGGCAGCTAATGTAGATGTTGTAGGCTCTTTGTCTCCATGTGAAATGAGCTATCAATCAACTAAAACAATTATAAGCAAAGACTGACAGTACCAAGTGTTGGTGGGGATGTGGGGAAACTGGAATTCTTACTATGTAAAATATAAATAGGTTGGTAGTTCCTCAAAATGCTGAACAGAGTTAACCATGATACCCAGCATTTTCATTTCTAGTTCTGTAACCCAAAGAAATGAGAAGATACATCCACACAAAAACTTGAATGTGAATGTTCATAGCAGTGTTACTTATAATTGCTAGCAACTAGCAGATGTCCATCTACTGGTAAATGTATAGACAAAACGTGATATATCCATATAATGGAGTATTATTCAGCAGTAAAATGTTATAAACTACTTAAACATGGCATAGCATAGATGAATCTCAAACACATTATTGCTAAGTGAAAAGACAGGAGATTAAGTTGTAGAATTCCATTTATGTTTAGTGTTAGGTAAGGTAAATCTGTTGAAACAGAGCAGTGTTTCAACAGCAGGTAGGAGTGGGGAGTGATTGCCAGTGGACACAAAGGAGCTGTTTAAGGTGATGGAAATGTTCTACTTAAAAGTGATGATTGCACAACTCTGTAAATTTACTAAAAATCACTGAACTGTGTATGTACACTTACAGTGAATGTATTTCATGGTATTGTAAGCAAAATCTTAGTAATTAAAAAACAAGCTCTTGATTTATCTCTGGGTAAGATTTGAAATGGTATTAAGACTCCTGCCTTTTGGGCACCTTTTAGGTGCTTATGGTGAGACATATCCTGCCATTGAAGATGACGACCTCCCTCCACCATCACAGTTGCCCTCTGCACGGGAGCGTAGGAGGAACAAATGGAAAGGACTAGATATTGTATGTATGAAATTTCTTTTCTCCCCTTTTCAGTTTAGAAGAATGAGAGCTCTGGGTTCTGACCCATGCTAAATCTGTGTGGCCCAATAAAGAAGCACTTGCTTGAAATTCAGACATGGGTCAGAATCTAGGCTCTGTGTTGACTGAATGATCTTGGGAAGCTATTGAATTCTGCTGCTTTGGCTTCTTCCAGTAGTAATAGTATTTTCTTGTCTCCTGGGGTGGCTGTAAGTAGCTCTGCATCCCAACCTTTCTTATTCTCTTGCACAATATATGTATTTCAGAGAGGCACAAGAAGGAACTGATGCTATTTAGTGAAAAGCCTCATAATAACGTAATTCTGTAACATAGGCGCCATTTCCATTTTGGTCAAGTGACTTGCCAAAGTCACATGGGCAAGAAGGCTGAGATTCAAACCCATGTTCTCTTCACTCTGTTCCACAGCTTTATGGTACAGCCAGTAAAAAGTACAGGTTTTGGAGTATATGTCCCAACAATGTCACCACCTTATTGGGTAGGCAGCTTGGGCAATTTCTTAAACTTTGTCTATTTCCTTATATATGACATGAAGATATAGTTATATGTGAAGCATTTAGCACTGAGCCAAGTATGCAGAGAGCTCTCACCAAGTAACAGATGCTGCTGTTACTAGCATTATTATATGTACAGCATTGTCAGGCGGGAATGGCTTTACTTTTTGCCTTAGGCAACCACCAATCTACTTTTGGTAATGTACCTTTTCTGGACATTTCATATAAATGAGATCATATGCTCTATGGTTATTTGTGACTAGATTTGTCTGTCTTCTTTTGAAGGTACATGTGCCAGTACTAATGCCTCTTTATTGTTCATTTTCCACCGTGTTATCCCACATTTTGTTCATTCAACAATTGATAGATTTGTGAGTTGTTTTCGCTTTTTAGCTATTACGGATACTATGAATGTTTATGTACAAGTTTTTTGATGCTTTTATTACTCTTGAGTATATATACCTAGGAGAATTGTTGGGTTATATGGACACTTTGTATTTAGCATTTTGAGGAAGTACCAGACTGTTTCCCAAAGTGGCTGTACCATTTTACCTTCCCATCATTGGTGTATGAAGGTTCTAATTTCTCTATATCATGGCCATCACTGTCTTTTTTATTATAGCCATCTATTGAGTGTGAAGTGGTATCATGGTGGTTTTGAGTTGCATTTCTCTAATGACATTGAACATCTTTTTATGTGCTTATTAGCCAGTTGTATGTTTTCTTAGGACATATGTCTATTCATCAAATCCTTTGCTGATTTTTTTTGAGGGAGTCTTGCTCTGTTGCCAGGCTGGAGGGCAGTGGTGCGATCTCGGCATACTGCAGCCTCTGTCACATTGGGGTTCAGGCGATTCTCCTGCCTCAGCCTCCTGAGTAGCTGAGATTACAGGCACATGCCACCATGCCTGGCTAATTTTTGTATTTTTAGTTGAGATGGGGTTTCACCATGTTGGCCAGGCTGGTCTCAAACTCCTGACCAAAGGTGATCCACCCACTTCAGCCTCCCAAAGTGTTGGGATTACAGGCATGAGCCACCGTGCCCAGCCCTTTGCCCATTTTCAAATTGAATTGTCTTTTTATTGAGTTGTAAGAATTTTTTATACATTCTGGCTACAAATCTAGTATCAACATGTGATTTTCAGATTTTTTCCCATTCTGTATCTTTCTAACTTTCTTGATGGTGTTCTTTGAAGCACACAAGTTTTCAGTTTTGATGAGGTCTAATTTATCAATCTTTCTTAGGCTTTTGGCGTCTTACTTAAGAAACCATTGCCTAGCGAAAGATCATGAAGATTTACTTGTTTTCTTTCCGTTTGTTCTTAATGTAGGTCCATAATACACTTCAGTCCATTCTTAATGTGGGTCTGTGAGGTGCAGTAGTCCAAGTCCATTCTTTTGCATGTGGACATCCAGTTTTTCTAGCAGCATTTGTTGAAAGACTGTTCTTTCTCCCATTGCATTTTGTTAACTCCTGGTCCATAAACAAGGAGGATTTTCTGTATTCTTCTTAATCTTCCATTGATTTTATATGTCTTTTCTTATGTTAATACCACAGTCTTGACCACAGCTGGACTGAGTCTCAGACCCTGCTGCTTCAGTTTTTTTCTTTTTGTGTCCTATAATTCTCCAGCTTTATCCAGACTGGCAGCATTTCTGTCATCACAGATGCTATGCCTTATCCTTGACTGAGTCATCTCAGCTTGCATGGATAAGCATAGGAGCCACAATATATATTTTCACTTGTTTTATTTTGTTCATCACAATGTACATTTGAGGGCAAGAGGGTGTTTTGATTCACTGATTTTTTTTTTTTTTTTTTTTTTGACATGCAATCTCGCTATGTTTCCCAGGCCGGAGTGCAGTGGTGTGATCTTGGCTCACTGCAACCTCCATCTCCCGGGTTCAAGTGATTCTCCTGTCTCAGCCTCCCAAGTAGCTGGAACTAAAGGCATGCACTACCATGCCCAGCTAATTTTTTTGTGTTTTTAGTAGAAATGGGGTTTCACCACATTGCCCAGGCTGGTCTAGAACTCCTGACCTCAGGTGATCTGCCTGCCTTGGCCTCCAAAGTGCTGGGCTTACAGGTGAGAGCCACCATGCCAGGCCCTGATTCACTGATTTGTGAACATATTACATGTTAATGACTTTCTGAAGTTCTGTTTTCTAACTACAGGATAGCAGTCGTCCTAATGTAGCACCAGATGGCCTCTCTCTAAAATCTATATCCAGTGTAAATGTTGATCACCTTAGAATGAGAAATGAGGAACGAATGCGAAGACTGAATGAACTCCAGAATAAACCTATTAATACAGGTAAATGGCCAAAGTGTAACGGCCTATAGCAGAATCCTGTATGAATTCTTAAACTTTCTTACTCAGGGTTTTCAGGAATGTCTGAGGAATAGATGAAATGAGGTGTTTTTTTTTTTTTTTTTTTTTTTGAGACGGAGTTTCGCTCTTGTTACCCAGGCTGGAGTGCAATGGCGCGATCTCGGCTCACCGCAACCTCCGCCTCCTTGGTTCAGGCAATTCTCCTGCCTTGGCCTCCTGAGTAGCTGGGATTACAGGCACGCACCACCGTGTCCAGCTAAATTTTTGTATTTTTAGTATAGACAGGGTTTCACCATGTTGACCAGATCTCTTGATCTCGTGATCCACCCACCTTGGCCTCCCAAAGTGCTGGGATTACAGGCTTGAGCCACCGCGCCTGGCATGAAATTCCTTTGAGTTGTATGGCCCAAGACGTAACTATTGAGCAAAACCAGAACTCAGGATTACGTTTGCATCAGATTTTCTCTAAGAGGGTACCCAATTTAGAGTGGAGTCGAAAGAGAAATAGTTTTTGCTTATTAAATATATCCAGGCTTTGCCTTCCAGCAGAGAAATAATAATCACTTTTACTAAAGTGAAATATTATTAGAAATTAGCTTTAAGACTTTGAGTTATTTAAATAACACTTCTGCTTTAAGTTTGTAGTACTACAAAGAAAATTTTTACCTTCTTTCTTGGCTTTCCACCATGAACAAACAAAGCCTCAAAAGTCTCTTCATTATGAGTGTATTTTTTTGACTTGCAGGTTAAAGCTAGTCATAGGGCACAAGGCAGGGTGACGAGACACCTAATGATCCACCCTCCCAGCCCTGTACCACCCTTTTTTATACCAGTGCTATTAGTCACTGGGCTAATGGGACAGTTTCATATTGGTAATATTAGTTTTAGCAAGTAGTGGAATGGTCTATTTAGGAAATACTCTTTAGTCTGTTAATCTACATTACAATAATCTCTTGAGATTTTTAAGATTTTTAATACTGTGTTAATTTAAAACTGTACTCATATACTAATCTAATAGTCAAGGTGTGGTGTGTTCTGATGGTGGTAATTCCATACCAAACACAAGCAGACATGGCTAATTGATGAGACAGTAGGAAAGGATGTCTCCTTTCCAGCTGAAAGGCATTTTCTTTTCAATTTCTTTTAGCCTGAACAAACTGAATTAATATTTAACAGGAATATATATGAGAGGATAGCATTTTAAGAATCTCTTTCAGAAGGTTTGTAATGTCTAAACCGTTTTTTGTTTAACACTGTCCTTTCAAACAGGAGCTTTTTGTTACGACGTGGATTGATTGCATATCACATTGATAGCACATACCAATCCTTCAAAGACCAGGAGATGTAATTAAAAAAAAAAAAAAAATTGACAGGGTAGGAAGACAGATTTTCCTATTGTTTTACCTAATAATCAGTAAGATACAGATAGAAGTTAAGTACAATCAATTTCAATTAAAAGAATGAAATTAAGAGCTACCTCTTCATGGGCTGACATGGCCTTCTTAGATTAGGTGTTTTCTCAAAATTTTCCTTATAACAGTGTTGTAGGTTGAAGAGTATTCCCCAAACCTTGCTAAGATAAAAAAATAAATGAAATTTTATATGTAGTCATTAGCGTCTCTTGAGGTAACAGTTACAAAATAAGATTACCTCCAGTCCTGCAGTTGACTTAGTGTACGGTGGAAAGTTGCCTTTGATACACTCAGAATCCCTCTGGTTGCTAAGTGTCAGAGTCAGGTTACTCAGTTGATCATTTTTTGTTTCACAAAATTGGCCCCTCATGGGCCTGCTCTCCCTCTAAAATAGGGTGAGGTGGGGTGAGTTGGAGCAAAACGAACAATAGAGTTCAGGACATGACATTGTGGAGAAATGCAGAGTTGTAATGAGTAGGACGACAGGAAATCTATGCTTTTGTCTCCTGCCTGCCACCTGTGTTACCTGAGTCACGTGTCCCTTGCCTCCTGTAGATGATGAGAGTTCACTGGTTGACCCTGATGACATTGTGAAATACATGGGGGATGATGGATCAAACTCTATAGCCACTGAGCCCTGGCTCCGCCCTGGCACCTCAGAAACGCTGAAACGCTTCATGGCAGAGCAGCTGAACCAGGAGCAGCAGCAGCAGCAGGTTCCTAGAAAACCAGGCACTTTGACTTGGCAGGGCCTGTCAACTGCACATGGTTAAAATAAACCTGTACTGGACCCAACAGTGCCTTTTAAGGTGAAGGGAATGGTAAATCTGTACACATATATCCTACTTTTAGCCCCACCTGAAAATTACTTTTTTTTTCCCATCTGTACTTAAAATTATTTTTACCATGATGTATATTGTGTACACAATTATTGAATTATATAATAGAACTGTACAGAATTATTTTTGTACAATTTGTCATAAATGGGAGTGGTAATGAATTTACTATATATATGCATTATAATAGATTCTGCTTGTTGTCCTGTAAAACCAGATTCCCTTTTGTTACATGCACATTTGCCACTGTTACCTTCATGCAAAAGAATTCATTCAGTAGGTGCATCTATGGTAGCTGTGATTATTCCAGTTTCTGTGTAATGAGGCAATCAAATGTGCTATTTTCATGTCATTTGTAACTACTAATACAGAAGAAATGAGAACCGTAATTGTTTGTATTCTTGTGAGCCATACATTAAATGTAACATCTTTCTGCTTCTATTTTTGTGCCAATGGAGGCATTTGTCTTGTTACTAATTTATATGATGTAAATACCTCTTGATAAATAAATTTTTATTTTAATTACTAACATCTATTTCTTGTGGAGCTTTCTAGACTACTTTTCTAGAGGTTGAAGAGAGGTGAGGACATCCAGGAGTCAAGGACAGAGAGACTGCAGTCTTCTTGTTCTGCCACCATGGACCCCTTGGATAAGTGAGCCCATGTGAGTTTTCTAATCACTCAGTAAGTAAGTTATACTTCTAAAAAAGGAACGAGACAAATTAGGAAGTTTTGACTTGGATTAGAATCTTCAGAATCATGAGAGCTGAGAATATCCCCAGGCAATGCTTCTCCAGTACCTCTTCTGACATAATTAATGGTAGACAGTATCAGACAAATTTGCCACAAATTTCTAGTATTTTCAGTTTTGGCTATACTTGATTTTCTAATCAGACCATTGTTTGCTTTACTAGTAAAGATTTGTTCTGTTGTCATCTGAAAGTAAGAAGAAAGCCTCTGACTCTTCTAAGAAGAGTCCTGATACTACCCCATTATATCATCAACTGCCAGGTTGTGTGGAGCGCTTAACCCCCAGACAGCAAGGTCACAGTGCCTCCCAGCTCTAGCATCCAGCTGAGCTTGAACAGAGCTCTTAGGGGGGACAAATATGGCATACTTACAAATGCACTGTTTAGTGCATTTGAGAGAGGTGCATAGAGAGGTGTGAAAGCAAAGACGGAATCCTTTTCCTTTTTTTTTTTTTTTAACACGGCCATGTTAGATGATATTGAAACATTCCATTTTCGTTTAATGCCATGTACCATACAGCTTCAACTGACTCCTCAAACACACAATAATTGCAAACTGCCCTGAAGAGAACTTTAGCTCTTTTCAGCATTCAAGTAGTGTAGCCTAATGCTGGGTTATGAATATGCAAAATAGTAAATGATTTTTGGGCTGGGTATGGTGGCTTATGCCTATAATCTCAGCACTTTGGGAGGCTAAGGTGGGAGGATGACTTCAGGTCAAGAGTTTGAAATCACCCTGGGCAATATAGTGAGATCCCGTCTTCACAAAATCATTTTTTTTAAATTAGGCAAGTGGAGTGGTGTATGTATGCCTACAGTCCTCACTACTGGGGTGGTTGGTGTGGGAGAATCACCTTGAGCCCAAGAGCTGGAGGCTATAGTGAGCTGTGATCATACCACTGCACTCCAGCCCGAGGCAAAGAGTGAGATCCAGTCTCTAAAAGATGAATACATAAAAATTTAAAAACTTGCTTTAAAAATGAATATGCTATGGTTAATAAAGTACAGTGTGAGGGAAGATCTAATGCTAGAAGCTGGAAAGAAAATACCAGAAATGAACAATACTGAATTTGTAGTTCTGGCTGAAAAATGGCTTTTCAAAAATGGCATTTCATAAAAATGGCTTTTATGAAAAAATGTAATGAAACATGGGGATGGGTTATATAGGTTTCGATTGCACTGCTGAAATAATTCAAAAACTTTATTGACCTATAACCTGATTAGAATATGCCAGATGAGAATCAATATTGTACAGAAAGTTGTACAGAATTTTTACATACAAAACTTTACATCTGTACCATATACATTTTATCCATCTGAAAAAATTTTCTACATCCACTGTTTGTTAATACGGAATGCTTGACAATCTTTTCTTTCTTTTAACCATCAGAGCACAATTCACAGTATGAATACATTTCCAGTAAATCTAACCTCCGCAAACCATGCCAGATTTGTTATTTTAATATATTCAACATTAAATTCTGTACATAGAGTAAAATCTACATCAAGCCCCACCACCCAAAAGAAAAGAAAATGACAGCAATCTGGATTCATTTTGCAGTGATTCAAGTTTTTCGGTCCATAAAGGATCATTCTATTTTAATGGCTCATCTTTAAAAGCCCTAAGAGAAATATGTTACAGGTAGTTACTGTCAGTAGGGATATTTTCTACCTTTTTTCCCTGTTGTTGAAGTGTTGGCCACAACAGCTTCTGGGCATGTTAAAGCCTCAAAAATACCACCCCTCAAAAAGGGCAAAACTAAAAATCCGCACAAAATAAAAAAGACAAACTTCCACCCAAATGTTTAGTGCATTTGACAAAATATTATGGATATTTAGCAAATGAATAAGAAAATAAAGAAAACAGTGCAGGAAGAACTATATAATGTTTAAGATTTTTTATATTACAGACCTGCATCTCTGTACATTTTTCACAGGATGATTACCAGTATCTCAGATAGCCTGAGTGTGCAAAAATCTTGAGAGTAAGAATATCATAGTTGCTAAATATTTTACCAATAATTTCTTCTTCTCTCCCCACTCCCCAATTATAAACATTTTATCCTTCAAAATACAGCTCTCCTGAGTTGTACTTCTTGTAGAAGTTCAATCTTTACATCTATAGTTCTTTGGGTAAGTTTCACTTCCACACCTACCAAAAAATGTGGGGCTCTTCCTGCCATGGAAGGGAAGGGACCCATGAGTTGACACTGTTTAGACAGGCTTTCTGCTCAACATGAGGCCAACATAACACATAAAATCCACCAGTACTAAAAGGGACTGGAGTGTTGCAAGTTTGAGTAAGAGTTCTAAGCATCGTTACCAGTAACTCTCAGACACTGCAATCCAGAGAAATCATTTTTCAGGTAGGAAACCTCAGCTCCAGCGTCCTTTTAAAGAGCAAAGGGATGTAAACACCAACAAAAATATTGAGTTCTCATCATTGCTTGTTTATTCCAAGTTCCTGTTCAGGTGGTTGTGATATCTGAAAAACTACTCCAATTCGCAGAAAAAATCTTCTAAGAACAGCACGAAGTTCAGGAATCAAGTCAAATTGCATAATTTCACATAAGAGAGGGTAGTAGAATGATGCATGAGCTTTAAACTGCAGGGAAAATGAATTTCTGTTAGCAGTGCTTGCAAACTCCAGAGCCTAAAACTGCCTAGAGTCAAACTACTCTCAGGCTCAATTACAGTAGCCAGGAAAGTACGGTTCACAGCAGGCAGTGGCTCTGGATTGTGGAACTGGGAGACAGAAGTGTTAGAAAAACTCACTTCATACAAACACGATTCACTTACATATCCTTGTTTTGAAAAATATTTGCCTGTATATCTAGTACAAACTAGAGTTTTTGTCTTTTTTGAGACGGAGTTTCACTCTTGTCACCCAGGCTGGAATAAATGGCACAATCTCGGCTCACCGTAACCTCTGCCTCGCAGGTTCAATCAATTCTCCTGCCTCAGCGTCCTGAGTAACTGCGATTACAGGCATGTGCTACCACACTCAGCTAGTTTTGTATTTTTAGTAGCCAGGCTGGTCTTGAACTCCCGACCTCAAGTGTCAGGCTCCACCAGCCTCAGCCTCCCAAAGTGCTGGGATTACAGGCGTGAGCCATTGCACCTAGAGTTGAGTTTTTATACCATAGTTGCTAAATATTTTTTATAGTTTTTATAAACTATAGGTTGCTGCAATTTTATCTTTTGTTATATAAAATTAATTTTAGTTTTGGGGAAAATTCTACCCAACACTGCAATATAAAATCTAAACAGTTCTCCAGGCAAAGCTACATAGTTTCACATGTACAGTTCAATTACTTTACTTTGGCTGTATCTTTGCAGTAGTTCCTTTATCTCTGGACTCTAGTCTATAGCCTCCTTTCCTACCCCTCTGTGCCCCTCCAGATCCAGGGAAGCAGTGAGACATATGGGGAAAAAAGCCAGCTGTGGAGTAACAGAGGCTAGTGGGGTTTTAAAGCCCTTGGCCATTTAAAGCCTAGCAGGCCACACAACTAGGCATTTTAAAACCTATTCTAGGGTCACAGCAAAGCAACCTGTTTCCTTATATGTGAGCTCTAAGTTGCTATTTTTTGTAAGAGTAGAATGTACATTTTTGAAAATCTTAAATATGCCCTTATATTTACAGTTACATGTGTATTTTATCTTGTCCTGGTTTAAAATTCTTACATGAGACCCATTCATTTGGGACTCTGGGTTACTTAGAACCACTAAATATGCCAAAGGAACACCTGCAGCCCAGAGTACAAGCCCAGGAACCAGATTTAGTCTTCTGAACCCTCGCCTACTGAATCCTCTAGAGAACCACTGAGAGTGAACAAAGCTGAGTAAGGAGAGAGAAAAGCGAGGAATGAGGAAGATACAGCCAAGGCCACTGGTGGCTCTGCACAAGGAGCAGTGCAGCCTGGGCATTGCCTGATTCATCCCTGAGGGCTCTTGCACAGCAGCTCTGGGACCTGGCATCCCAACACAAATCAGGCTAGAAATGTGAGGCTGGATTCAGGGCCTCATACTTACCCTGTTATCACTTATCTTTAGAACTTTAGTTAGAAACAAAAGCAGTAAGTTAGTCCAGGCTTCCCGATGACTTTCTGATGTTAGAGTAAGGAAGTAACTTAGGGCTTCGCTGCAGACACTGCAAAAGAAAAGGTTTCCTTTAATGTTACTTGCATACCTGCTGGTCCCTATAATCATTGCAAAAGAGCAATAATGAACATAGTTGTGAATACGAACTATTCAAGAACATGTTAGATCTCATCTGTTTACATTAGCTGGAATGTCAACATAAACATGCTTTTCAAATTGGGAAGAAAACCAAGGATGTTAAAAGAGGCCATTGTAACGTATCAGGAATCCCTCATTTTCCTGATTTTGTAAGTTTCTTTGAATTCAAAGCTGCTGTGTGGCAGGTGGCACATGTGAAGCTTAGTTTCAAGAGACCTGGGCTGGAATCTAAGGTGGCTCTTCTCTTCACTGATCCTTGTGAGGCCCTATATCTTTCTGGGCCTTAATCAGTCTTGTCAAATGGGGTAACAGACACTAAGTGATCCCTTAAAATTCTAAAATGTATTTAACCAGCCTCAGAACATCTATTCCCCAAGTAGGTATGAAAATACAATGCAGATGACAGTATTCTTTCTAAATGGCATGTTTCATTCTTTTTTTTTTTTTTTTGGAGATGGAGTGTTGCTCTGTAGCCCAGGCTGGAGTGCAGTGGCGCAATCTCAGCTCACTGCAACTTCTGCCTCCCAGGTTCCAGTTCAAG